AGAAATAGAGGAAGATATAAAAAGTGGAAGCACATACCTTGTTCATGGATTGGAAGAATTAACATCATTAAAATGTCCATATTACCCAAAGCAATCTATAGATTTGATGTAATCCCCATGAAAATACCAACGACATATTTCACAGAACTAGAAAAAATACTTCAAAAGTTCATATGAAACCAAAAAAGACCTCGTGTAGCCACAGCAATTTTGAAAAAGAAGGACAATGTAAGTGGGATCACAATACCAAATATCAGGTTATACTACAAAGCGACTGTAATCAAAACAGCCTGGTATTGGCACAAGAACAGGCATATAGACCAGTGGAACAGAACAGAGAACCCAGAAATGGACCCAATGCTCAATTAATATTTGACAAAGATGGCATGAGCATATAGTGGGGTAAAGACAGCCTCTTTAATAAATGGTATTGGGAATATTGGACAGTTACATGCAAACAAAATGAAACTAGACCATCAACTTACACCATACACAAAAATAAACACAAAATGGATAAAAGACTTAAATGTGACCCGTGAATCCATAAAAATTCTAGAAGAAACTGTAGGCAACAAAATTTCTGACATCATACACAGCAGAATTTTCAATGATACATCACCTAAGACAACAGAAACAAAGGACAAAATGAACACATGGGACTACATCAAACTAAAAAGCTTCTGCACAGCAAAAGAAACAACCATCAAAATGGAAAGGCAACCCACTGTATGGGAGAACATCATTGCAATGATACATCAGATAAGGGGTTAATTTCCAAAATATATAGAGTACTCATACAACTCAACAAAAGGAAGACAAAGAACCCAATTAAAAAAATGGGCAGAGGAGCTAAATAGACACCTCTCCAAACAGGACATACAAATGGCCAAGAGACATATGAAGAAATGCTCAACATCACTAATCATCAGAGAGATGCAAATTAAAACAACAATGAGGTATCACCTCACACCTGTCAGAATGGCCGCCATCAACAAATCATCAAACAACAAGTGTTGGCGAGGGTGTAGAGAAAAGGGGACTCTAGTGTACTGCTGGTGGGAATGCAGACTGGTGCAGCCACTATGGAAAACAATATGGTGTTACCTCAAAATATTTTAAATTGAACTTCCATTTGACCCAGTGATCTCACTTCTAGAAATATACTCTAAGAAGCCTGAAACACCAATCAGAAAGAATATATGTAACCCCATGTTTGTAGCAGCACTATTTACACTAGCTAAGATCTGGAAACAGCCCAAGTGTCCATCAGTAGACAAATGGATAAAAAAGCAGTGGTACATATACATAATGGAGTACTATGCAGCTGTAAGAAAGAAAGATCTCTTATCCTTTGAGATGACATGGAGGGACCTGGAAAGTATTATCCTAAGGGAAACAAGCCAAGCAGAAAAAGACAAGTATCATATGATCTCACTTATTTATGGAATATAATGAACATAACAGTCTGAGGAATAGGGTAAACCCAGAAACATGGAAGTAGGGTACAGACTGACATCCCTCAGAAGAGGGGGTGGTGGGGGAGGGAAGAGATAAACCACAGAACTTATATGCATGTACACATAACCAATGGACATGGACAACAAAGCCGGGGACAGGGTGGGGGGGGGGGATGGGGAGGAGGGTGTCAATGGGGTAAAAAAGGAGAAACATCTGTAACAAAAATAAAATTAAAAATAAAACAAAATAAAAAAAATAATAAATAAATAAAATTTAATTAAAAAAAAATAACCTCCCCACATGGGTTCAGACATGGGTTTGGTTGCTATGGAAATGACCCAAGTCTCCGTAGCTTAGACAAGACGGATGTTTGGTTTTCTCTCAGTAACTGTCCAGGTGGCTCCAGCCCCATCCAGGGGGCACCCAGCCATGCCCAGTTAGAGATGGCTCAGACCACATCTTCTGGGTCCCTACCCCCGCCAGTAGGAAAGGCGTCCCCCTTTCTGGGAACGCCTCTTTCTTCCTTCCAAGTGCTTCACCCAGGAGTTGAAGGGGGAGGCTAGAAAGTACACTCATTATTCTTGGCAGCCATGAACCCAACTAAAACTCAAAAGTTCTGTTACTAAATGAAGAGCCTTATGGGGCTGGTGAGCAGTCTCTATCTGTTTATGGACAGGTTGTAAGGATGAACGAAACATTGTAACGCACACAGCACAACCCCTGGTATACAGTTGCTATCCAGCCCTGATGAGTTCTTTCCCCTGTGGATGGACGAATAGGTCCTACAGACATTCATGGAGCACCTACTATGCGCAGCTGTTGTGAGACACACAAAGAGGATGCTGCTGCAGTCTCCAAGCTGAGAGAGGCGGGCAGACGGTGTGGAATGAAGTGTGATGTGCGAGAAAGGGAGAAACTGTCTGCGAGCCATGCACAGGCCTCGGAGTGCAGAGAAGGGGGCTCCGCCACCCACCTGTGGGATCCGGAAAGCCCTGCAGAGAAGGGACCCCTGGGGTTCAGTCCTCATGGGTAAGTATGATATTAGCAGGTAGAAAGAAAGGGAAGGGAAATCCTCCTGCGGACACAAATGAAAACAGCAACAAAGCACAGTTTGACCCGTTAGACTACCTAAAACTAGGTACAGGTACAGGTACGGGTATGGGTACGGGTACAGGTACAGGTACAGGTGGATTCACACATAGATGTGTCTGGGCTGTTTTGTGCTGGTCTCAGCCTCTCAACACCAATGTTGTCGCTGGACCAGCCCTCGTGGTTCTTATGGTTGCAAGACGTCCTTCAGCAAGAACCGTCAGGGAACTTGGAAAAAAATGTGTATTACTTACAGGACCTGGAAATCACCCCACACACCTGGGGCCACACAGCGAGATCGTGGGTAGAGAGAGGACACACACAAGTCCCGGGTTCTGCTTTTATTGGGGCTGTGGGTGGGAGTCTAAGGTTTGGGGGGATCACTCTCTTGATGAATTTAAAATGTAAGAGCGGTGATTTAAAGCAAGGGAAACAGAAGAAAAGAAACAGGTGGTCCCAAAGGGCAGTGAATGAATCAACCAGATCTGTCAAGCGCAGGACACTCAAAGAGGGGTGGGTGCCGGCTCTTTAGTCACATGGCTGATGACACCGTTCACTGGAGATGGCCATCATTGATGTGGACGCCTCGGAACTCAAAGCTTAAGTCAGGCATTAATGCTACAAAAAAGAAAAAAAACAAGCCCTGTCAGGACTCACATTACAACCCAATGGTGGCATAGGGGAGAAAGGAGTACCCACCGTCAACCCTGGCGGGGTGTGCCTGGTGCAGCCTTTTAGATACAAGGCCATGCAGACTACACCCCTTCGGCCCCTCAACTCCGCTGCTGGTGGCCTGTCCTACACAAATGCTTGCACAGAGCTCAGGTACACAGTCAAAGATGGTATCTCCACATTGTTTGTAACTACAAAACAACTACAGCTACAACCTACAGCAGAGTCCACCTACAACTGGACAGTGACTGACGGCGGAGCGGCCACCCCACAGAACACTCTGCAGCCCCTGAAAGACCGAGTCTGGAAGTCTGAGCAGACCTAAGAGGATCCCCTTACGTTGTGAAGTGAAAAAAGCCCACAGCAGAACAATATGTCTGTTACGATTGCTTTTTGTACAAAAACAAAGGTAAATAAATAAATGAAAATAAGACCAAACCATCCTGCAGGTATGGGTCAATGGTTGAGCGTTGGCCCATGCACCAAGAGGTCACTGGTTCGATTCCTGGTCAGGGCACATGCCTGGTTCGCAGGCTCAATCCCCAGTAGGGGGCGTGCAGGAGGCAGACGATCAATGTTTCTCTCACATCAATGTTTCTCTCTCCCTTCCTCTCTCTCTAAAATCAATTTTTAAAAATATATATTTTTTTAAAAGTTTAAAAAATAAAAATAAGGCCTAACCGAAACCAAACAAACACCTGCGTCTGTGACATATGTGCATTGAGGAGGTACGGCAAAGGATGAACCGAAGTGCTAAAAGAAATTACTCTGAGGAGACGGAGTAGAGGGAGAAGAATCCTCTCACTCACTGTGGATGACAGCTAAGCGTTGGAAACAGTCTAAATGTCCACCTAGGGTAACGGGTTCAATAGGTCATGATACGCGCGCACAAGAGAACACAGCGCTGTTCGAAAGACAGGGCAGCTGCACCAAAGAGACGAAAGCAGCCCCAAAACACAGTTATGTGGGGAAAAGAAAAAGTCAAGTTTAGAATCCTACGTGCACTATCACTTGGTTGAGCTCTGATCTGTGCATTGAAATGGCTGGTTCCATTCCCAGGCAGGGCACATACCTGGGCTGTGGGTTTGATCCCCAGGCAGGGCACATACCTGGGCTGTGGGTTTGATCCCCAGGCAGGGCACATACCTGGGCTGTGGGTTTGATCCCCAGGCAGGGCACATACCGGGGCTGTGGGTTTGATCCCCGGGCAGGCCACATATGGAGGACAACCCATCAATGTTTCTTTCTCACATCAGTGTTTCTGTCTGTCTGCCTGTCTGTCTCTCTCTCTCTCTCCCTCTCTCCCTTCCTCTCTCTAAGCATGACCTTGAATGTGGGTTTTAAAAAGAGAGAGGAATATACTTCTGTGTGTTTTCGTGTGTGTATGTGCGTGTGTGTGTTGTTATGGGCACAGAATATTCTAGAAGGACACACAAGAAACTAGAAATAGTGGCAAAATAATATTAAATGTAAACTGCAATTGAAAAAAAAAAATTTTAAAGAAATAGTGGCTGCCTCTGGGGAAAGGAATTGGGTGACTAAGAATAAATGTTTCTCTTTCTCGACACTTTATAGCTATTAACTTCATCCCATGCATATGTATTAACTTTTCAAAACATTAATGTAATTTTGAAACATAGTAGGATTAAGAAATGAATTTTAAAAGGTCCACCTGCCCCTCCACTCCTAGAATCTCTGCTGCGTGGGGCAGGCTCAGCCCCGCAGCGCACGGCGGGTGTGAGGCTGGGCCGGTCGCACCTGCACCACCTAGCGGCTCCCACGGAGCTCATCAGTGTTCGGTAAAGAGTGAGCCTGGTTGTCTTGGAGAAGCAACAAGGTTGGGTTAGGATATTTACTTGCGACTTTAAGGCACAGTCAGGATGAGTGCTGTGGTCCACACACTTTAAGAGTTTCACTGGCCTATAGAATAAAAAGAAATGGGATTTAAGGGATTGTTTAAATGGCTTTCATGCATCAAACCTTTAAGGTGTGCCAGGGATACACAATCTCTGACCTCGAAGAACACAGTTTCTTTTTATTTTTATTTATTTATTTATTTATTTATGTAATCCTCACCCGAGGACATTTTTTCATTTTTTGTTCAGATAGAGTGGAAGGAAGAGAGAGAGAGAGAAAAACATCAACGTGAAAGGTACACATCGAGTGGCTGCCACCCGCACGACCAATCAGGGCCGGGGACAAACTGCAACCGAGGTACGTGCCCTTAGTGGGAACCGAACCCGGGTCTCTCTGGACCGCAGGCCAACACTCTAACCGCTGAGCCAAGCCGGCCAGGGCCACAGTTTCTTTTTAAAAACACAAGCCAGCCCTGGCCAGTTTGGCTCAGCGGTTAGAGCGTTGGCCTGCGGTCTGGAGAGACCCGGGTTCGGTTCCCGCTAAGGGCACGTACTTCGGTTGCAGTTTGTCCCCGGCCCTGGTTGGTCGTGCGGGTGGCAGCCACTCGATGTGTCCCTTCACGTCGATGTTTCTCTCTCTCTCTCCCTTCCTCTCTCTCCCTCCCACTCTATCTGTACAAAAAATGGAAAAATATCCTCGGGTGAGGATAAAAAAAAAATTAAAAACACAAGCCAGCGATGCTTTGTTAGTGCTACACCCTCCAGAAATGTGTGTGGAGTGTACATGGCTTCCTGAGATCTTTGATTAGGACTCAGAGAGGAACCCAATATTGTAAGTTAACTTTTTGACCATATTGAAAATAACACGAAATATTAGCCAGCATTTATTAAATGCTCATCGTGTACTAAGAATTACGCATTTTACGTAAATTCTGCTGTTTACGCCTCACAACAACTCCCCGGAACAGGTACTATTATCCTGTCCGATTCACAGTCAAGAACACTGTCCCTAGGACTTGCCCGAATTCTCGCAGCAGCGAGTTGTGGAGCTGAACTTGAGCCTTCAGGTTGGACTTGAAGCAATGGGCATAGCTGATGCCCGGGCTGCAGCAAAGAAAGCTATATTGCTCTGCACGGCCCTGGCCGGTGAGGCTCAATTGGTTGAGCATTGTCCCATGCACCTAAAGGTTACCAGTTTGATTCCCAGTCAGGGCACATGCCTGGGTTTCAGGCTCAATCCCTGGTAGGAGGGTGTGCAGGAGGCAGCTGATCGATGTTTTGATGTCACATCCCTGTTTCTCTCTCTCTCTCTCTCACTCTCCTCCCCCTTCCTCTCTCTCCAAAAATCAATAAAAAAATAATTTTTTTAAGTGCTCTGCACAGCAGAGGGTGGAGATGCGGGGACCCAGGGCAGCTGGAGGGGGAGCAAAACAGCAGAGAAAGGATCCAGGTAACGGTGGCACACTGGACGTCAGGTAGAAGGCAGGCCAAGGGGCTCTCCTGTGGCAGGGTGACTGGAGGGACTTCGGAAGAACAGGAAATACATTGTTCACTCTATGACATGCTGTGTGACCCCTTCCGAAGACTCGCTTGCTTTTCAGGAAAGTCTATGGAACGTGGATATGTTTTAAGAGAGTCATTATGGTGTTGTGCCCCCCCAAACTCATGGAGTTTCACTGCGCCTGGTTCAACACAGTGCAAAGCAGAAACCATCCCGGCGGCAAGACAGGAGACGGAAACATAAGACCGCGACCGCGACAGCATCTGCAAGGGGCAACGTCACCCAAGTCCTCAGGGGCAGGAGTTCTCAGTTCCACGGAGCGGGGAGCTGGATCTGTTCACCTTTGTCACTTCAACCTTCTGTCACCTCCTCAGTGCTCCCAGGAGCAACACAAAACCCACCTCAACCTGGAAAGAGCCCAGGGCGGGGCAAAGCGGAAGCGGGGTGGGGCTTGCCAGGGAACAGCCCTGAGGCCAGCCCAGGTGAGGACAACCCCAGAGGAAATGAAAGCAGGCTGGTGTTCTGTGGACCGCTGTGAGCCAGGAAGGAGACCCTGGACTCTGGCTGGGCCCCCCACTTGGACCCAGGACTTAAAAAAAGACAGCTTCGGCCCTGGCCAGTTTGGCTCAGCGGTTAGAGCGTCAGCCTGCGGTCCGGAGAGACCCGGGTTCGGTTCCCGCTAAGGGCATGTACCTCGGTTGCAGTTTGTCCCCGGCCCTGGTTGGTCGTGCGGGTGGCAGCCACTCGATGTGTCCCTTCACGTCGATGTTTCTCTCTCTCTCTCTCTCCCTTCCTCTCTCTCCCTCCCACTCTATCTGTACAAAAAATGGAAGAATATCCTCGGGTGAGGATAAAAAAAAAAAAAAAAAGATAGCTTCGTCCGGCCGGTGTGGCTCAGTGGTTAAGCATGGACCCCTGCACCAAGAGGTCGCTGGTTCAATTCCCGGTCAGGGCACATGCCCAGGTTGTGGGCCCAATCCCCAGTGTGGGGCATGCAGGAGGCGGCCATCGATGTTCTCTCTCATTGATGTTTCTATCTCTCCCTCTCCCTTCCTCTCTCTCTAAAATCAATAAAGGAAAAAAAAAAAAAGAAAGCAGTAGCCTCCTTGGGGAATTCCTGGACCAAAGCAAAGTGTTCATAAATGTGAAATTTTTAGCCATAATTTTCTCCATCATTGAGTTGTTTTAAAGTAAGAATTACCTTTTTAAACATTTACTAAAATCTGGTGTATTAAGAAAGGAAGAGTTCTATAGTAGGAAGAAAAACAGAGCATACTCTAAGGCCGTGTGATGCTGGGTCTAGAACTTGGGTCTGTCACTGAGTCATGACCTTGGGAAAGGTACTTAACCTCTCTGATCTCTACTCTATCCGTTCACAAAAGGGGCTATTTATATAAAGCTTAAAAACAGACAAAACCAACCTGTGACCTTGCAGGTCTAGAGAGTGGTCGCTGCTGTGGGCAGGGAGAGACGGAAAGGGAGGCCTGGGGGAGCCAAGGGGGCGCTGTTCTGTTTCTTGATCTACATGCTGGTTGCATGTGTATGTTGAACTTGTCAAAATTCATTCAGCTGGATACGTATGGTTTGTGCATTTTTCTGTACATGGACTATATTCCCCTCCCCCAAAAGGTTATTAACTTTCTTTAATTGTTGAAAGAGGGTGATAGCAACACCTGGCCTTTGAGCTTCCTGACAGCATTAGCAATAATAGATGACAAAAGGTACAGCTTCAAGCTTTGAGCAACTGTACTAAGTCCTTGCAGTGTTGGGCTCCAGCCTCCGAGGGACCAGAGGGCCGCAGACTCAGGTGAGGGATTCCCAGCCCAGGGCACGGTTTCCACTGTCTCGGGCTTCAAACCAAATTTATCTACATTTCCAAGAATCAGGAACGCCCACACGCGGTATCTGATTTTAAGTTTATAAAGTGCCTGGCCCGGAATGCGTTCACTGAATGGTAGCTAGGACTATTTTTCTATTGGCCTACGGTCAAAATGCACCTGCCTGTGAGTATCTCAAACCAGCTCCACCTCCGCACCACCCAAGGAGGCGGGCACCAGGCTCCTGGTTCACGAGTTACTCACCATGCCCTTAGCAAGCAAAGAGCAAACTGGACACGCGCAAATGGGAAAGGGTTACTTCACCTGCCCTTCAATAATTAGAAAGGGCTGGACAGAAGTGGGAGGAGCCTGGCAGAACCCTCTCAGTCCAGAAGGTACTCTCAGTCCCCACACACAGCGGCACCCAGAAGGCACAGTCCCTTGGATTTTAGAGCGGAGTCCCTTTCAACAGCTCCCTCCCCTCCCAAATCACGGAATGCGTGCACCGATCGCAGTCTGCCACCTACAGGTAGTCATTGATGCAGCTGTACTGAAAACCCAGCTCCTGCAGTCTCTCTTCCAGGATCTTCACACTGCCTTCTCCGCAGGATTCCCTACAACAAGCGCAGACATGCAAAATAAAATAAGAGGGTGGAAGAAGGTTTTTCTAGACTAGTTAACAGTTACCTTGACTATGTGCTCCCGGGACAGTCTCCTCTTCGGAGAACTATCTGGGAAAGTCTCTGGACCCCAAAGCGCTGCTTGCACTAAACCCATGCACCCCAAAGGGGTGCTCTGAGCACCCAACACCTGGTCCGAAGTATGCAGGTCAAGTGCCCTGGGAGGGCCTTGCAGGTGCATCACAGGGCGTTTCAAGGCCCCGCCCACCACACACCTGTGTGATTTGCCCCCGACTGGCACCATGCCGACTGCCAACTTGTTCAACCTACAGTGTATTAAGTTAAGCTTTAAATGGCAACAATAACATACCCAAAAAGTTAGAAAATGCAAATAAACAAAAGGAAAAAAAAATAAAACAGCCAATCTCACATCACTAGAGATGACTGCTATTAACATTTTGAGGTATACCATTCTAGACTTTTTAAATCCATTTATTCCCATGAAACTTTTAAAATGCAACGTGAGTTTCTGCTGTCCCGTGCATTTTGTTTTTGGCATTTGCCCATGTCTGTGTACATACATGTATACCGGCTCTTATTTTTCATTCCTCTGTGCTCTCCTTTCCATAATTGGAACATAATTCACAGCCCCCTCCTGTTAAAGATCAAGGTTCATTCCTGTATTTCAACGTCTCTGACACCACAACAAACCTTGAGGAAGCTTCATTTTCATACACGTCCTTGATGATGTGTCTCCTCAGCATAAATGCCTGGAAACAGGTTTTCTGCCGACCACCGCGGCAGAGTATGAGCTGTCCCATACCTCTTGTTCAGTGGCCCCAGGCCCCCCTGCCCCACCCCCATCAGAATTAAGCAGGGGGCATGTATAGAGGCAAGCAGGTGTGGTCAACAGGCATGGTATTCATATCACAGGCAGGGCCCGGCCTCAGTTTACTTCGAATGGGAAGGTAAGCAGCCTCCTCCCTATGAAATGACTAGAAAGGGACTGTACAGGGAGGGAATGCGTGACTGAGGAAGCCTCCTGGAAGAAGTGGGGTTCCAGGCATCACAGGAATGAAGAGGGTGAGCTGGTAAGACCACGTGGCCAGAATCGGAATGCTGTCCTACTCCGGGCCACGCTCACTACCTAGAAATTGTTAGTCCACGATGACATGGAGGTTTCAGGACACCAAGACACAGAGCTCAATCAATGGCTTATTTTACTATTTTTTAAAATAAAGGTATAAACACAATCAGGTATGAGCTTTCTGTTGTTAGCTCTTTTCCATGGTTTTTTCCTAAAATCTCAGCAGTTCAGGACCCCCTGCTCTCTTAGCACCTGACCTGCAACTTCACCTTTTACCACAAAGGTACAACCAGGTGTCCTGACCCCTCGATCACCTCTCCTGCGGCAGAAGTGATGGTCTGGAGGGCACTCATTGCCATTTCCTCGTCTCCTTACGTGTCGCCTCAAAGGACAAGCTTTCTCTGATAGATACAGTAGCACAACAACAAGCATAACGTTCACACAACGAGCAACTTCTCACAGAAACAAGAAAAAAAACATACTGTTTTTTCATGCAAAAACAAGACTAATTTCCCTTCTGGGAAGAGAAATGCAGGGGGAGGAAATCACTCATTCCTGGTGAGTCTTCGAGGCACCTGGGGCCTGAAATGGGGGATTTGCTACGATTCTCCCAGAACTGCTTCCAGTAACACATCCACTCGCTGGGGCCGGCCATGCTTCCCTCCGCAAGACATCCATGCCCTCAGGACCAAAGCCCCCGCTTGCCCCTGTCGTACCACTGTGGCTGCACAGCTTTACCTAGACCTGGCCTCACTGGCTTACCTCTGAACCCGCTGCATTTTAAGATTTGTATCTGCACTTTTGCCTTTATTGATGAGAAGGATGAGCTCAAGTTCGCATTTATATGAACTTGAGTGGTTTCCCAGAAAATATGTATCTTAAAAGTTTCCTTGGCCAGTTGTCTGAGACCTAATTGTGACAACAACTGTTCACTGAGAAAAAAGTCTTCCGCCCAACCAGTGTGGCTCAGTAGTTGAGCGTCAACGCATGCACCAAGAGGTCGCCGGTTCAATTCCTGGTCAGGGCCCATGCCCAGGTTGTGGGCCAAATCGCTAGTGTGAGGCATGCAGGGAGCAGCCAATTAATGTTCACTCTCATCGATATTTCTATCTCTCTCTCTCTCTCTCCCTTCCTCTCGCTCTAAAATTAATAAAGGAAAAAAATAAAAATAAACAGTCTTCCTTACATAGTCTTTGGGTCAATTCATAGGACTCCTAGAAAGAATTTTGGGGCCTCAAATGACCAGAAACAGAAGCTGGCTTTGACCTACACAAATGCATGAGGAACTTGCCTACCCAAGGCCACCCAGGTTGACTTCCCTTGGATGAGAGAGGTATCTGGGTAACAGAGTTTTCTGTCTGGGCTCAGGACAGGCTGATGGCATTACCAGAAAGTCAAGCCTCTGTCTTTCTCTGTGTGCCACGTTAGAAACAGAGACGAGTCCTGGCCCGGAAGCTCAGTTGGTCAGAGCATAGTACTGATGCGCCAAGGTTACAGGTTTGACCCACAGTCAGGGCACATACACGAATCAACCCATGAATGTGTAAATAAGTGGAACGGCAAATCAACGTTTCTCTCTCCCAAATCATTTATTAAAAATAAAAACAGAAAAGACTATTGTTTCCCCAAAAATGAAAATGTAAAACAAACTTGATCACATCACATCTGAGAAAAGCTGGTTTGCACAATCACCCTCATCAAGAACACCATAACTTACAGGTTGGGTCCCCCGATTTCATGCATAACCCAGATTTCAATTCGTGTGATTTTATCCTTCTGCAAGTAGGGAATCTCATAATCTGCCAAAAACCTGAAAAATAGAAAAGACATTTCTTAAAGTCCTAAAGCAATCTGATATTTTTGCCATTTCAATGTTAGTTGATTTACACATTACTTTTGTTTTCCAGCTTTTGGGGGCTATTTTTCAGCTTTAACTTTCAGGTTACTTATTTCATTAATGCATTCGTCCTCTGTTAATGGTATAACCAGATAAACATGTCTCTGATCTTCAGGTCTTTCAATTGTTTTGCTTTGCCTGAACTTACAAAAGCAAGCATTAGATGGGAGATAAAGACCATTCTCTTAAGCCTCCATTCAAAACAACTAAACATTCTGGCATCTCTGCTACATTTGTTGATGCTGATATTCTTACCCTTTTTTGAAATAGGTTCCTGATGGCTCTGAACCATTCAGCATGATGTAGATCACCCCAGAACTATCCACTGAATACTGCAAGAAATCATGAGTAAATTTTGAGTAAATGAAGACATGTCTTCTTTTCAGCTAAGAAATGCCAAATTTTTTAAACTCATCTTTATTGTTGAATGTATTACAGATGTCCCCCCGTCTTTCCCCCATTGACCCCTCCTCCCCAATCCCACCCCCCTCCTGCCTTCCCCACACTATTATCGGTGTCTGTTGGTTATTCATATATGCATAGAAGTTCTTTGGTTTATCTCATCCTGTCCTCCCTCCCCCCTTCCCTTTGAGTTCATCAGTCTAACAACCAACTTGTACTTCTTAATTCCTTCATCTTTTTCACCCAGCCCCCAGCCCCCACCTATCCGGCGAACAACAAAAAGTTATCTGTATCTAGGAGTCTGTTTCTGTTCTGCTTGCTCATTTTGTTTGAAGATTCAATTGTTGATAGATATGTATTAATCGCCATTTTATTGTTCATATTTTTGTTTTTCTTCTCCTTCAAGAAGACCCTTCAACATTTCATATAATACTGGTTTGGTGGTGATAAACTCCTTTAGCTTTTTCTTGTCTGGGAAACTCTTTTTTTTTTTTGGCCAGGAAATATTTTATTGACAACCAGGGACATAACCATAAGAGAGGGAAGCACACAGGACTACAAACTAAAACCCAAATGCCAGCCATGGCCCTTCGGGCCAGGAACACTGCATCCTGGGGTCCTCACAGTCTCCTATCAGTAGACACACAAGATTGGGCATCCAGGAGAGGGAGCAGTGACGCTGGTTCCCAGAGAGTGACAGGATATATGATGCCTCATTACAAGAGACAGGGTAAGGAGGTAAAATGGAGAGAGGCCCATCACTGCCTGAGACCACCTCCTCCTCTTAGAGCCAACACCAGGTGAAGGACTGAACCACCTAGGATTTTGTAATCAGCTGCTGTCTTCTCATCATTCATCTGTTTACCACTATAGATGAGCCGCTGCTGCTCTGGGGGGATTTCCTCTTTCTCTTCCACACGTTCCTTGATTCGCTCCACCTCGTCTGTGGGTTCAATGTCAATCTCAGTCTCCTTTCCGGTCAGCGTCTGGGTTGCAGGCCTGATCTCCAGCTCCAGATGGGGCCGTGTGGGAGGCAACCAATCAATGTTGGGAAACTCTTGATATGTCCATCAATTCTAAATGATAGCTTTGCAGAATAGAGTAATCTTGGTTGTAGGTCATTGCTTTTCATCACCTTGACTATTTCTTGCCACTCCCTTCTGGCCTGCAAAGTTTCTTTTGAGAAATCAGTTGACACTCTTATGAGAGCTCCTTTGTAAGTTATGAACTGCTTTTCTCTAGCTGCTTTTTAGATTCTCTCTTTGTATTTAACCTTTGGCATTTTGATGATGATGTGTCTTGGTGTGGACCTCTTTGGGTTCATCTTGTTTGAGACTGTCTTTGCTTCTTGGACTTGTATGTCTGTTTCCTTCAAGTTAGAGATGTTCTCTGTCATTGTTTCAAATAGGTTTTCAATTTCTTTTTCTCTCTCTTCTCCTTCTGGCACCCCTATAATGCAAATGTTGGCACGCTTGAAGTTGTCCCAGAGGCTCCTTACACTATCATCATTTTTGGGGATTCTTTTTCTTTTTGCTGTTCTGATTGGGTGTTTTTTGCTACCTTATATGTCAAATCATTGGTTTGCTTTTTGGCTTTACCTACTCTATTGAATCTGTGTAAACTATTCTGTATTTCAGTTAGTGCCTCCTTCATTTCTAACTGGTCCTTTTTTACGTTGTTGATGTTCTAAGTTCCTTGGAGGTCTCCTTAAATTTCTTGAATGTCTCAACAAGTTCCTTGAGCAAGCTTATAACCTGTGTTTTGAACTCTGCATCTGATTGATTGCTTATCTCCATTTTGTTTAATTCTTTTCCTGGAGTTTTGTTCTTTTCTTTCATTTGGGACATGTTTCTTTGTCTCCTCATTTTGGCTGCTTCCTTGTGATTGTTTCTATGTATTAGGTAGAGTTGCTATGTCTCCTAGGCTTCCTAGGATGGCCCATTGTAGTAGGTGTCCTGTAGGATCTGGTGGCACAGCCTCCCTGATCACCCTAGGTGGGCCATCGAGGTGAACCCCTACTGTGGACAGTACACATCCTATTATAAATGAGTCTTGATTGATGTTGGCATGTCAATGGGAAGGATTTACTCAGACTGGTCAGCTGCAAGGACTGTCTGTGCCCACTGACCACTGACCTCTATCTTGGTGGATCAGCAGTGTAGGGACCCACCACACAGAGCAAGACTTACTTCATCAGGGCTCTGGTACCCACTGAGTTCGTTCATTGAGTGTGTCACTTGAGGTGGTTGGGTGGTGGTGTTTCGATGTGGTCTAAAGTTGTCCACTGGGTATGTTGGCTCTGGGGCAAGGTCAGCTACTGCCTGTGTTCTATCCAGGGCCACCCAGCATAAGCTACAAAGTGATCTTCACACAGCTGCTTCTTGTGCTGGGCTTGGAAGTTCCCAGGAAAAGCCAAAATGGGAACCAAGGCTGGCTGCTTCGAGTGCCAGGCCTGGGGTTACTTGACGAGAGGTATGGGGCTCGCTGAGACCAGATGCTGCTTGTTTGAGAAATTTTAGGAAACCCTGAAGCAGGATCCAAGACGGGCCAATCCTATGGTAAAGCCTATAGAAACAGCTTGGGTGGGCCCAAAGGTTGGGTGGGGCAGGGCCTCAGGGAATCACCAGGGCAGGGCCAACAGTATGAGCCAGGTTGCTGGAGTCCCAGATACAGCTGTCGTCTGCCGCCCCAGGGAAGGGCTCACCAAAGGAACATCAGCCTCCGCCAGCACGTCTGTCCAGGAGAAAGCCGCCTCTCCAGCCCTCGTTTCGAGGCCAAACAGCTCAGTTCTTCCCTGTATGTCTCTGGTGCATTTCAAGCTGGGAGCAAATCTGAGTAAGGCCGTGTTTGGGCCCTTTAAGAGCAGTTGCCTGGGGCTCCAGAAGCCTCAGCCTCCCTCAGCCTCAGTTCCCACTGGTTTTTCCAGCCAGAAGTTATGGGGATTCTCTTCCTGGCATTGGAATCCTGAGCTGGGTGCCTGGTGTGGGACGGGGACTTCTCACTTCTCAGGGAGGACCTTCCCAGATGAGGTGTCTTCCTGATTTTTATCCCGCATGTGGGTGTGGGACCAGCCAGTCTGAACCTCCTTGGTGTGGTTGTTTCTTTAATTTCATAGTTGTAGGACTTCCATTCAGCTCGATGCCAGGTGGTTCTGATTGATGATTGTGTTGTAGTTTAGTTGTAATTTTGATGTGGTTGTGGAGGAGGTGATACCGCGTTTACCTACAGCACCATCTTCAAGAAATGTCAAATTAAAAAAAAATTTTTTTATTTATTGATTTTTAGAGAGAGAGAGATTTGTTGTTCCATTTATGCATACATTCATTCGTTGGTTCTTGTATGTGTCCTGACCAAGAATGGAACCCACCATCTTGGCATATGGGGATGACGCTCCAACGAACTGAGTTACCCAGTGGCCAATTTTTTTTAAATTGACAATTCTCAATACTGCCAAGGGTGTGATCGCTTTGATATTTCATACAGCTAGAAAAGATGTAAACTGGTATATCTTGAAAAGCAAACTGCTTTGAAATGTCAAAAAATTCATAAGACTCGGTAATTCTATGTTTGGGAATCTACCCTAAAAAAATAATGTGAAACAGTATCTGAGTCCAGCCCTGACGTCATGCTGCCATTCCCAGCAACCTCTACTTCACAGTGGCTTTAAACAACAGAGATCTGCTTCTGGCTCACACTAGATCCAGTGGGGTTTGGCTCCCTGTGTCCTCACTCTGGGACCCAAGCTGATGAAGTCTCCACACTGGTTCTCAGCAAGGAAGAAGGGGGAAGCAGCAAATCCCAGAGCAGTTCTTGAAAGCTTCCTTCTGCCCGGAAGTCACCAAGTCACTTCTACTCACACCTCGCTGGCCAGTGCAAGTCACACGTAAGTCATTTCAAGAGGCAGAGGAGTGCAAACCACATGCTCAGAGGGCGAGCCAGAAATATTTGGCGGACAGCACTAAGGACCACCTGGTGCACAAAGATGCGTCCTTGCCCTGGCCGGTTTGGCTCAGCGGTTAGAGCGTCGGCCTGCAGACCAGAGAGTCCCGGGTTCGGTTCCCGCTAAGGGCACGTACCTCGGTTGCAGTTTGTCCCCACCCGGGTTGGGGCCATGTGGGTGGCAACCACTCGATGTGTCTCTCTCATATTGATGTTTCTCTCTCTCTCCCTCCCACTTCATCTGAAGATAAATGCAAAAATGTCCTCGGGGGAGAATAAAAAAAAAAAAAGATGCCTCATGCAGTGCTGCTTGTACCCGACCTGAAACAGTCAAGGAGATGGCAGGTAAATCATGGCACTGAGGGGTCTGAAACACCAGCCAGCCATGAATAAAAGTCTACAAAAGAGTTGCCATAGCATAGGAAGTGCTTACATTGAAGCAAAATGCAAGATTGGTGAATGGAGCATGAGCTGTACTGTGTGACAAGTAAGTGGGCAGAAGTCTGGGGATGTTAGTCAAGCCCTGAAATGCCCGAGAGACGGGTCCAGAGAAGTTCCAGATGTTTAGTTTAACCCATTGCCAGGGCACGTTCTCTCCCCCACGAGACGTCTGCACTGTCGTGGAGGCACGGAGGGAGGGGGTGCGGTGTGGCGCCGAGACGGACATGCTGGGCTCCTTCTCCAGCTCAGGGGTGGCCAGTAGCAGCTGCAGCAGAGCAGCCCCCCCTTCCTGTCATGCACGTCTTGGGTCGCTCCCAACAGCACCGACAGTCACGGTTAAATCCACACATGTCAAGGGCACTGTGCGGAAGGGGTTGCCCTTAGGTAGTACGAGTATGAACGGTCGCTGTTACTTGTATTTTCTACACTCTGTCACTTTCTGTCAGGGACAGCTATGACACCGATGATGAAAGCAATTCCATCGTAAAATGCGCGCCCACACCACGCGGCGCGTGACGATGTGGCTGAGAACTGGGTCTCTGGCTCCTCCGCTAGCCCTGTAACCAAGCTGGTTATGTCTCAGGATCCCTCTGTGTCCTACTTTTCTTGCCTGTAAAACAAGGGTGGTGAGATTGCCTCCCTCACAGGGCTGCTGTCAAGATCAAGTCAATTTAATAATATCATTGAATGTATTGAACACATTTCTGCTACGACTCAGACCCTCTCCTCACCACTGACTGCCTCATGCCTAGACTGTCCCGCACGTTCTCAGGGCCCGTAGCCTGTGGGCACATGACTAGGTCCCCGTATAGAGCGGGAGGAGGTATAGGGCAGGGGTTTGGAGTACACACTTTGAAGTCGGGCAGGTCCTGCGGGTAGAACATGTGGTTCAATTGTGTGTAATGCTGACATCACCCCTGGGTCCCTTGTGATCCGCGTCCAGGTGACGGCGCACCCAGAGCTTCCCGGTCCTCAGTGAGGGGCTCCAGCAGCCCAGGGCCAACTGCCTGGAGCCTGCACTCAGACCGGAACCGACGGGAGTGGGGGCAGGGCTCCTGCCTGAGCCAGCGGGAGGGCGCCAGTAACAGAAGACATCTGTCCGAGACGGCCCTCTGCTTAGCTCCCACTGCAGCCGTGGCGGAGGGTGTGACCAAAGACCCTCTTGCCCTGCTTACAGTGGACCCAGTTGACACCTGGGAATGGAGAGAAGGTAATGGGCCCAAAGGAGACACGGCTAGCCCTGAAGGGGGTTGGCAGCAACAGGTGGCAGGCAGGGTCCATGGGCCACCTAGTCAATATAGGAAACAGTAAATGGTAGACGGCCCTTTGCTGATATTTTTTCTAAACTAGTGACAGAAAATGTGAGCTATACTCATTGTCACTTACTAGCTACTACTACCATCAACCCTGGTGACAGAATACTCTGAGGGGCAGACTTACCTTAAGGGGACCATTTCTGTGTCTCCAGTTTGACCTCAGTCCTCTCTCATCTCCTCTCCCACTGGCATCCGTCCTGTGGACACTTCTGACTCCCACCCCTAGATCGCAGGTGTCCCAGGGCCCCCCAGAAAGCAGGGATCACCCCATTTTGTATAGCCATCAAGATCACATGGATTTGAAATACTAACAACCACCGTGCCATGATAGTCATAACAACTGTTTAACAACCTCATCCATCCATGACTAGCATCCCTGAACATTCCTCTGTGCCAGGCACCACTCTGAGTTCCTTAAACCCGCACACCTGGGCGGAGCAGAGAGCAGGAATCAGAATGGAAGAAGCAGGAAAGCGAGCCTCTGAGAAGTCAGGTCATGACCCGATGGCCCCATCTCAGAACGTCTCAGAACCCCTCTGCCCCATGCTCACGGACCCCCCTGTGCTCAGCAAGACCTGCACGGACACCCGTTTCCAGAAAGAATCCACGGCGTTGTCTTCACAATCCTTCGATGTAGGGCAGGATTGGTAATCGAGTCCTAAGGGACAAACGGACGAGCAGGATTCATTTCAAAGATCATATTGGGAAGAATTAATTTAAAAGATTTGCTGGCTCTACAAAACTTATTTGGCCTGTGTTCTGGACAATGTGCTCAAGCTGAAGAGTCACAGATCTGTCCCCCCAAACCCCAAGGAGACTGGCGAGTGACCACCCAACCCCTGATACGGAGACACCGTTGTCTGGCTCAGCACACACGCCGGCGAGGCGGAGAACTAGGCAGCGGGCTGAGGAGTGAGCCTGGCCGCCCACAGGCGTGTTAGCCGGGCTAGCTCTCTACTGGAATGCTAATAGAAGAAGAAAAAAGAAAAAAGCACAAAAAACTTTGCTTTCCTGGAGGAAGTGCCTTCTCCAATTAGCCCTGGTCTTGGAAGTAAATACAAGAAAAATAGACAGAAAGTGATAGCCCTTAGCCAGGAAATAGACATTGTATAGCATTTAAAATATAAACGTTCAAATGTATTAAATTTTATTAATTTGAAGGACATAATTCAGCAGATATATATGGTATCTGTTCACTATTTACTCTCTCTATATTTTTTTTAAGAGCGTGCTAGTCTGGCCGGTGTGGCTCAGTGGTTGAGCATCATCCCATGCACCACGAGGTCGCTGGTTCGATTCCCGGTCAGGACACATGCCCAGGTTGTGGGCCTGATCCCCAGTGAGGGGTGTGCAGGAGGCGGCCAATCGATGTTCTCTCTCATCAATGTTTCCATCTCTCTCTCCTTCTCACTTCCTCTTTCTCTAAAAATCAGTAAAGGACAAAAAAATTCAAAACAAAAAAAGGAAGGTGCTAATTGACAAGTTGTTCCAGGAAGAACCAAGCAGGGCAAACGTGGCAAGTGGTGTGGTTCAGGATGGCGCCAACGTGCACCTGCAATGTTTTAAGGGGTGGGATTTCAGATGAGTCAAGGTCCATTGCAGAGCCTAAGAGAGGACCATCCTAGGAATGTGGTTTATTTCAATTACACCATCTGGACTTGGAAAGAGTTCAGGCTATCAGCAGCGCAGGCCAGTGTCAGATTTCGCAGGGATCTGTGAGTCTCAGAGCGGTCCCATGGATGGTGCAGAACGTGGAGGACTAGAATCCACCTCCAGCTTCCCACTGCCCCTCCCATCGTTTCTGACAGGTATAGTTTTGGGTGGCATTTGTCCCAAAAGTAATTTCTCTGTTTGTTTGTTTGATACTTTCTTGCTCTTAGACTATGAACAACTGGTGAGTATTATTAATGATCATTTACCTAGTCGAAGAATTCTCTTCATTAAAAATCGCTTGTTCTCTAAATTACAAAAATGAAAACCATAGCAAACATGGATAAGAAACACAGGTATGACCCCAAATTCCCAGCAAGAACTGTGGTTAACAGTTCGGGATTGCTGTCTTCTTGACTTTTTTCACGTGTATATTTTCACAGATGTCTGTGTGTGTACTTTCATTTGAATTAACTTGATGTTTTCACTTACAAAGACATCACAAAACCTCGCCAGATCCACAGACACCAAGCCTGACCGTTATTGTTCATGGGCCCCACAAGATTCCACGATACGAACATGCCTTATTTTGCTGATCCTGAACTCTGGAATTCACTTCCATTTTAAATCCTCACCTGAGGCCCTGGCTGGTTCGGCTCAGCGGTTAGAGTGTCAGCCTGCGGACCAGGGAGTCCTGGGTTCAATTCCTGCTAAGGGCACGTACCTCCGTTGCAGTTCATCCCCGGCCCTGGTTGGGGTCATGCAGGTGGCAACCAGTCGACGTTTCTCTCTCGCATCAAAGTTTCTACCCCCTCCCCCCACCCCTGCCTTCTATTTGAAGATAAATGCAAAAAATATCCTCCAGTGAGGATTAAAAAAAAATCCTCACCCAAGGATGTTTTTCCATTCATTTTCAGATAGAGTGGGAGGGAGAGAGAGAGAAACACTGATGTGAGAGAGACGCATCGACGGGTTGCCTCCCGCATGACCCCCGACCATGGCTGGGGACTGAACTGCAACGGAGGTACGTGCCCTTGACTAGAATTAAACTCACAACTATTTGGTCCGCAGGCCGACGCTCCAACCACGGAGCCAAGCAGGCCAGGCTTCACTTCCTTTTTAAACAAAGAACCCTAGTAGGATGGCAGCGACAGAATCGGAGAGGTGAGGGAGTAACCTTGTGATTGTCTGGGACACTTTCTCTGAGCTGCTTTACTGACGACACTTTTGACAACAATCAATTCCCCAAACTCTCCAGGCTGGAGGTCCTACAATTCAGTTCGGTTCTGACACACTAACTGTGGACACCCCAGGTTAAGGGCTCAGCCCCACAAGACTGCCCCCACTTCAGACACCAGCTGCCAGTTGGCACCTTCTAACCAGCTATCTATAAATTCAGGGGTAATCTGCTAGAATAGCTCACAGAACTCAGGAAACACCTTGTTTACGATGATTGGTTTATTATAAAGGATACAACTCAGAAACAACCAAATGGAAGGCAGTGCATAGACAGCTATGGAGGGTGGGTGCTCCACCAATCTGGGTGCCCCACCATCCAAGAATCTCTCTGAACCCCATCCTTTAGGGCAGCAGTTCTCAACCTGTGGGTCGCAACCCCTTTGGGGGTCAAACGACCCTTTCACAGGGGTCACTTAAGACATAACAGTAGCAAAACTACAGTTATGAAGTAGCAACAAAAACAATTTTAAGGTTGGGGGTCCCCACAACATGAGGAGCTGTATTAAAGGGCTGCGGCGTTAGGAAGCTTGAGAGCCACTGCTCTCGGGGGTTTTATGAAGGTTTCATGATGAGGAGTGGTTGATTAAATCATTGCCTGTTGGTGATCAATAACCTCCAGCCCCTCCCTCCTTCCCAGAGAACAGAGGGTGGGGCTGAAAGTTCCAACTCTCTAATCATGCCTGGGTCTTTCTGGTGACCAGCCCTCCACTTGAAGCTACCTAAGGGCCTCCAACCATCGGTCATCTCATCGTCATACAAAAGAACTTTCAGTACTTCTCACATCCTAAGGGTTTTAGGGGCCGTGTGCCAGGACCTGGGGGGACCAATGTTTATTTTGCATTATACCACACTCTTCCTCCCTTCACACTCTTCCCATCACATCTCTCTGCCATTCCCCCCATCCTCTACAGGAAAATCAAACTGGGGCCTCCTGCTCACTAGTCACTCCCTGGTCCTTCGGAAGAACAGCCAAGTCCATTGACCAGTACCCTGCAGCGTGTCCCCTCTCACAGTGACAGCCAGAGTCCTGGCAATTGTGGTGCACCTGCCCTCTAGCCTCTCAGCCTGCTACTTTCTCTTTACTTACTGCCCTGTTTGCTGCTGCTTAAATATGCCAGACACAGTCCCACCTCAGGGCCTTTGCACATGCTGTTCCCTCTGTCAGGAAATGCTCTTCCTCATCTCCTTTGGGTCTTTGCTCAAATATCGGCTTCTCCGTGAGGCTTTCCCGGGGCCTCTGCGACACTGCAACCCCTCCCCACTCTCCTCCCCAGCTCAGCACTTCCCATCCTCTGCCCCTGCTTTGTTTTTCTCTGAAGGCCTTGTAATCTTATGGAAGACTCTATATTATCTGCCTGTCTATTGCCTTACTGCCCCCTCTAATGTAAAGATGAGTATTATGTTCCTGGTTGGTTCTCTGCCGTGTCCCCAGGGCCTAGGAGAGGAGAGCCCGGTGCACAGTGGGTAATCTAAGACTTCTGGTTGGATGGATGGAAAATAAACCGAATGGAGTAAAATAAACCCAACTGAGCTTAGGTGAACATTTAAAGTGACTCTAGTACCCAGGGAAAAGAATCACCAGCTTTTGAGAACGGAGGACCTTCCCCCACCTCCTTTCCCTGCTGGTCTTGCTCCTGCTCATCCTCCAAGACTCACCCAGCCGGATGCCCTGGTCTAGGCTGGTGTCTCTCTGCCCCTCAGTGCCCAGCCCTTCCTGTACCAGAGCACAGGGCCATGGGGAAAAGGTCTCTCACAAGCCGTAAGTTCTCTGAGGGTGGGCACACTTGACTGCCGGCTCCTAGCGTGGGAGTTGGATGAATGGGGAGAGTCGTCACTACCAACAGTCAGTGCTCCTGACTTTAACTTTCACTGTGATTGTAATCTCGGAATCTGTGCTGGAGCCCTGGAGTGCTATGTCAGAGCCCGGGCCTCAGACCGGCAGAGGAGGGCTGGATCCTGGCCGCTCCCTCTTCAAGTGAGATAAGCTCCCCTAGCCTCAGTTTCCCCTTCTGGAAAATGAGGAGAGTGAGGCCAGATTGTTCAGGGTTGGGAGGATGTGCTCTGGAGTCAGACTGTCTGACTCTGCTGCTTACGAGCTGTGCATCCCTGAGCGAGTTTCTTGACGTGGCTGGGCCTCAACTTTCTCATTTGCCAAAATACGGATTTCAATCGAACCTATCCCAGGAGGCCACCTCAGGGATTCAATTAGTTAATGCATGTAAAATGCTTAGAATGCACCTACCAAAAGATAAATGCTGCCCAGCCGGTGTGGCTCAGTGGATCGAGCGTCGTCCCATGGACCGAGAGGTCCCAGTTTGATTCCCAGTCAGGGCACATGCCCTGGTTGCAGGCTTGATCCCCAGTGCGGGGTGTGCAGGAGGCAGCCAATTTGATGTTTCTATCTCTCTCTCCCTTCCTCTCTCTCTCAAAAAAAATCAATAAAAAATATTTTAAAAAATAAGTGTTATCTGTTATTGTTATTATAACCACTTACTTCAGAGGACTGGTAGAGGGGGATAAATGAGGTAAATGCATAGGAAAGCATTTAGCATGAATGGCAAATGCATAGTAAACTAGAACTCTGCTTTATCTTGTCCATTTTGTGGGAGTCTTACCAGAGCCGTTCTGCTGCCGACACCAGCTCAGGAGAGCCCCCATCCTGCCGTACAGAACATCATGCAGGGGCATCAGGCGGAGGCCGTTCTCTGCATAGCTGATCACAAGGTACTGGTTATTTTCCCAGAACAGAGACTAAGGTAAAGAAAACACAACATCAACATATCAAATGAAATCAAGACACATTTTTATTCAGGCACAATATCATCAAGCAAAGTCAGGCAACCCAGACTCGCCTCACAACAAATGCACTTTCCTCTCTTGGTCTTCATTTACCAACCCAGGGAGTGCCATGGTCTCTCTTCCTTTTGGTCCAAAGGATTGTGCCAAAGTTAGTGCAATCTTTCCCCGGTAGCACAATGTAGTGTGTGTCTGTGTGTGTGAATGAAGATCTCTGGATTTAAAAGAAGATCAAAGGGAATGGGTTTGTGATACACTAGATAGGTGGTCTGGACCAAGGCGTGTACTCTCCCTGTGCCTCAGTTTCTACATCTGAAAAGTGGGGAGCATGAGCCCTTTCTCTTATTCCACAGATGTGTTCAGGATGATATGCAATATATTACTTTTATATTATACTTGATATTCCCTGTAGCCAAGCCCCTTGTGATTTTAATGTCCCTGGTATTTTGGGCAGCTAAAGTTAGCTAATTTATTTCCTGATTAGGCCTCTGTTCATGCTGACCGCTCTCTTGTTCCCATGAATGTAGTCCTAGGTTGCTGAGGTGGTGTCTCTTTGTTAAGCAGGAGGGGATGACTTTAGGGTCATGAGGAGGGTTTTGGAGTTTATCTTGCAGAAGGAAAGACTGTCTCCAAAGTAGCTGTGACCAGTTGCTGCCATCCAGAAGTCTGGCTGCACAAAATGTGATCTGTGACTAAAGAAACACAGACTTCTCTCAGTTCCCTGGAACTACCCTGCTCTGCTGCCCAGCTGCACGGAGACACCTTACTGTGCTTTTGGGAGGAGATGGACTGAAGAGATGTTGCTGTCCCGGCCACTTGGGACAAATCGAATAAAACTCGATATCCTGTCTCCGGTGTCTCAATGTTTGGACTCCTGCTGCAGCGGGTACACAGCCTGGATGTTGGAAGATGATTCTGCGATATTCTTACTATACATTCATAGTCTTTTGACCCAGCATTTCCACTTATGGATATGTATCCAAAGAAACCCACAACACTAATTCAAAAAGCTACATGCACCCCTGTGTCCACTGCAGCATTATTTACAACAGTCAGGATTTGGAAACAGCCCAGAGGCCATCAGTAGATGAATGGATAAAGAAAACGTGGTGCATGGAACAACTGATTAAAAATCTGTGACAACATGGTTGGACCTAAAGGCTGTTATGTTAACTGAACTAAGACAGACAGAGAAAGACAAATACCATATGATTTCATTTATATGTAGACTCTAAAGAATACTATAAATGAGCAAACAAGACAGAAACAGACTCACTGATACAGAGAACAGACTGGTGGTTGACAGATGAAAGGGGGTGCTAGGAACTGGATGAAAAAGATGAAGGGATTAAGAAGTACAAATCGGTCGTGGCTACGAGTCACATGTCAAGGACAGCGTAGGGAATAGAGTCGGTAATGTTGTGGGTATTGGAAATATCAAGGGATCACTTTGTAAAGTACATAACTGTCTAACCACTATGCTGGACACCTGAAACTAATATAGAATAATATTATGTCAACTATAATTGAAAAATAAAAATTTTAAAATAAAATTATACTGTTTTCACATAATAATAAGACAAATAGCCCTAGCTGGTTTGACTCATTGTTTAGAGTGTCAGCCGGAGGACTGAAGGGTCTTAGGTTCAATTCCCAGTCAAGGGCACGTACTTGGATTTCGAGTTCGATCTCCAGCCCTGGTTGGGGTTACACAGGAGGTAACCAATTGATGTATGTCTCTCACATTGATATTACTCTCTCTTTCTCTCTCTCCCACTTCCTTCCTTCCACTCTATCTAAAATCAATGGAAAAATATCCTTGATTGAGGATGGACAAAACAAACAAACAAATGAAAATAAGACAAACAGCAATGCCTTGTTCGCTCATGGTCGCATCAGATCCTCAGTAGTCCCGGGGTCTCTGCCTGGACTGGAAGCTCCCCGACGGCAGGGCTGATCTGCCCCGTTGCATCCTCAGCCCTTAGCACAATGCCCGGCACATTGAAGTGGCTCAGTAAGTATGTCCTGAGTTCATCAACCAGAACCAGAATCAATGAGAAAGGAGAACATGTATGGCTCCTCTTTTTATTGACAGAGAAGCAGCAAACTCTGTTTCAAACCATATTTAAAAATCATGTTTTTGATCTATTATATCTCTGAACCTCCTGGCTCCATTTACCTCCTTTACAAAGGGGGAAACATCAGTGTTAAGATGTTTTTCATTTGTAAACATCAATGTTACCTGATTTTACAATTTAAAAATCAAGTTAAGACTTATGTCAGAGGAATAAATACGCTCTCCAACAGTCTTTAAACTCGAGGTACTGTTCTAAGAAAACATTGTATGCCGATTTCCTTGATTATCTTCTCCTTTAAAAAACATACATGTTTAATTTTATGTATTGTCATTTAAAGCTTGATTTTATAAAACACAAAAAGACATTTTTAAGAGTTCTGTGTCACCGGAATTTAAACAGTAGAAATAGTGATTAATTATTAATCTTTGTAAGTGTAAATTATATACATTAAAATCTAATCATTGGAGATCTTTTTCAATATGGAAACTAAACAAATGAAATAAATGGCAAATGGACCTTATAGCAAGATTTTGTGATTGTGGATCATCAGTTGCTTTAGGACCTAAACAAAGATTCCGAATATTCAGATTTCTTTTGATGTGTTTCCTATTTACCTATATCCCAAGTCAAGCTGCTTGAGCAGAAGGTCTGACTTAGAAAGGCACTTAGCTTTCTAGCAAAAGTTTTTTCATCTATAGCTACCACCTTCAAAGCAACTGACATTACAGTGCTGATGTAATCTGCTGGCTCCCTCCTGAACAGTGCGCAGAAAATGATGTCAACCTAAGGGAAAGTCAAACAGGTATCAAAAACGGAACAATCATGCACAGTCTCATCAAGTATGTTTAGTTTCCCCCATCTAAAATCTAATCAGTGGAATAAAACGTGAACTATCGACTTCCGGCCAAGATGGCGGGTAGGTAACCGCGGTATCGCGTCCTCCCACAACCACATCCAAGTTACAACTAAACTACAGAACAACCATCATTCAAAACCGCCTGAAATCAAGCTGAATGGAAGTCCTACAGCTACGGAATTAAAGCAGCTGCATTGAGACTGGGAGGAGGGGCAGAGGCGCGAGGGCCGGTGGCGCGACGAGCTGGTCCCACACCCACGTCTGGCGGATAAAAATCAGGAGGCTCTCGCGGCTGGGAAGGTCCTTCCTGAGGACTGAGGGGTCCCCGTCCCACACCAGGTGCCCCGCTCAGGGTTCCAGTGCCAGGAAGAGAGTCCCCATAATTTCTGGCTGGAAAAACCAGCGGGAACAGAGGCTCAGGGAGGCTGATGCGGCTGGAGCCCCAGGCAGCTCCTTAAAGGGCCCGCGCACGGACTTAGCGGACTCTCTCCCTCTGAGCTTGGAGGGGAGGCAGCTCAGGGGCGCCAGAGACATACAGGGAAGAAGTGAGCTGTTTGGCACTGGAGCGAGGGCTGGAGAGGGGGCTTTCTCGGGGACAAACGTGCTGTCAGAGGCCTTTGTTCCTTTGGTGAGCCCTTCCCTGGGGCGGCAGACAGTTTCCATATCTGAGACTCCAGCAACCTGGCTCACACTGGTAGCCCCGCCCTGGTGACTCCCTGAGGCCCCGCCCCGCCCCGCCCCACCCCACCCCACCCAACTTTTAGGCCCACCCAAGCTGTTGCCACTTGCTTAACCATAGGATTGGCCTGTCTTGGATCCTGCTTCAGGTTTTTCCTAAATTCTTTCAAACAAGCAGCATCTGGTCTCAGCTAGCCCCATAACGCTCGTTAAGTAATACACAGAAACAAACACAGGGAGGCAGCCACAATGAGGAGACAAAGAAACAGGTCCCAAATGAAAGAACAGACAAAACCCCAAGAAAATAACTAAGTGAAATGGAGATAAACAACCTAACAGATGCTGAGTTCAAAATACTGCTTATAAGGATGCTCAATGAACTTAGTGAGAACCTCAGTGAACTTAGTGAGGGCCTCAAGAGCATAAAAAAGGACCAATCAGAAATGATCGATGCACAGTTAGAAACAAAGGAGACTTTAACTGAAATAAAAAATGATTTACAAAGATTCAATAGTAGAGTACGTAAATCCAAGAAGCAAACCATCGATTTGGAATATAAGGAAGCAAAAAACGCCCAATCAGAACAGCAAAAAGAAAAAAGAATCCAACAAAATGAGGATAGCATAAGGAGCCTCTGGGACAACTTCAAGCGTGCCAACTTTCTCATCTTGGGGGTGCCAGAAGGAGAAGAGAGAGAACAAGAAATCGAAAGCCTGTTTGAAACAATAATGGCAGAAAACTTTCCTAACTTGGTGAAGGAAACAGACATACAAGTCCAGGAAGCACAGAGAGTCCCAAACAAGATGAACCCCAAGAGGCCCACACCAAGACACATCATCATCAAAATGCAAAAGGTTCAAGACAAAGAGAGAATTTTAAAAGCAGCAAGAGAAAGGCAGCTAGTTACCTACAAGGGAGTTCCCATAAGGCTGTCAGCTGATTTCTCAAAAGAAACTTTGCAGGCCAGAGGGAGTGGCAAGAAATATTCAGAGTGATGAAAAGCAAGAACCTACAACCAAGTTACTCTATCCTGCAAAGCTGTCATTTAGAATCGATGGCCATATAAAGACTTTCCCAGACAAGAAAAAGTTAAAGGAGTTCATCACCACCAAACCATTATTATGTGAAATGATGAAGGGTCTTTTTGAAGAAAAAGATAAAATATATGAACAAACAAAATGGCAATGAATACATATCTATCAACGATGGACTCTACAAACAAAATGAACAGGAAGAACAGAAACATTCTCATAGATACAGAGAACATTTTGTTGGTTGCCAGATGGGAGGGGGGTTGGGGGAATGGGTGAAAAGGGTGAAGGGATTAAGAAATACAAATTCATAGCTAGACTGACAAACCTCAAAGGGAAAGGGGTGGGGGGGGGTGGGAAGAAATAAACCAAAGAACTTATATGCATAACCAGTGGACACAGACAATAGTGTGGGTAAAGGTGGGAGGGGGGCGGGAGTGGGGAGGAGGGGGGTCAATGGAAAAATCTGAAACATCTGTAATACATTCTACATTCAACAATAAAGATTAAAAAAATAAAATCAATAAAGAAAAAAACATTTTTAAATAAAAAATAAAAATCAATAATAAAAAAACAAAAACGTGAACTATCTATCGTAGGCTTGGCTTCAGGAAACACACTTGAGGACTCCATGACGGTTCTCGGCTCCTCTCCGGCCAGGGACAGGGTTTTGTCGGCCGCCACGCTGTTTACTTCGTGGATCGTTGTAGCGAAGAAAGGCAGACAGACTTGCTCAGACTGGTAATGAACTGTGGCCCCGAATCTTCCCACTTTCCAGGTACAACCACATCTTTGTATAGGTCAGCAGGGACTGAAATGTCACCGTAGCTGTGATCTGCCTGATCACTGAGCCATTTCCTCTTGGACGGCTTTCTGAGACTTCTCTGGGTACACTGTCTTCTTTGGTAGTCCTGTTACACCCAGTGTCAAACTGCCAGCTTTCAAGGACCTTACCACCTTGACATTCAAGATGACAGTTTCTTTTTTTTTTTTTTTTTTTTTTATCCTCACCCGAGGACATTTTTCCATTTTTTGTTCAGGTAGAGCGGGAGGGAGAGAGAGGAACAGAGAGAGAGAGAGAAACATCGATGTGAAAGGGACACATCGAGTGGCTGCCACCCGCACAACCGACCAGGGCCGGGGACAAACTGCAACCGAGGTACGCGCCCTTAGCGGGAACCGAACCCGGGTCTCTCAGGACCGCAGGCCGACGCTCTAACCGCTGAGCCAAACCGGCCAGGGCGAGATGACAGTTTCTTAATTGAACTCTTGTACAACCAGTCTTTTGTTTCACCCCGTGATTTAGGTAACTCATAATTAAGGTTTAGTGATTGCAAGCGAGGTGAGTCCACATTCCAAACTTGAGTAAAGGTTTCAGATGGGCCCGGTCAGTGTGGCTCAGTGGTTGAGCATTAACCCATGCACCAAGAGGTCGCCTAGTTAGACATGCCCTAATCAGGGCATGTCTCCTGGTTAGGACACATGCCTGGGTTGTGGGTCCGATCCCCAGTGGGGGGCATGCAGGAGGCAGCCAATCAATGTTCTCTCTCATCGACATTTCTATCTCTCTCTCCCTCTCCCTTCCTCTCTCTATAACATCAATAAAGAAAAACAATTTTTAAAAAAGGTTTCAGCTCGGCCCTGGCCGGTTTGGCTCAGCGGCTAGAGCGTCGGCCTGTGGTTCAGAGAGACCCGGGTTCGGTTCCCGCTAAGGGCACATACCTCGGTTGCAGTTTGCCCCGGTCCAGGTTGTGTTGTGCGGGTGGCAGCCACTCGATGTGTCCCTTTCACGTCGATGTTTCTCTCTCTCTCTCTCTCTCCCCCTCCCACTCTATCTGAACAAAAAAATGAAAAAATGTCCTCAGGTGAGGATTTAAAAAAAAAAAAAAAGGTTTCAGCTGGTAATTTGTCACACTGATATAAAATGATGTTGATGCCAAATGAGCAGAACTTGGTCACGGTTTTGGTGCTCCCGTGCAGGGTGATGCCCTGCTCTGTGGGGTGCTGCCCCGCCATGGCCAGGCCCAGAGCCCCAGTGCCGCCCACCTACACACCGAGGCGACTGCACAGGCGAGCGCAGGGCTCTGCGGCCGCTCCCCACCGCTGGTTTCAAAAGTAACCTCACTTATTTTCATTATATCAGAACTCAGAGTGCAAACAGAATACAGATATGTGGTATTCTTACATTAGTACTGAATAGATACAACCTTAGGGCCCATCAAAAGAAGAAATTGGTATTCTGGGAGGCTACTTGATGTTGAGCGCTTTCTGAATTAGTCAAGGTTCAGGCCATTGGGGTGGAGGGTACTCAGAATTGGCCCAGGGTGGAGACTCAGCGGGGAAAACGTAACAACTCCCTGATGTGCTTGTGTCTCCTGCACTGACTTGTTGACCTGGGAAGCTTCCTTCTGCTCAGACAGGCAGGAGGCCCGGGATCGCTGGTGGAGATAAAGCCACCTTCCCCCCCAAGGGACTCCACAGCACCAACCTGCTGTTTCAGTGACACTCAAGACAGCTAATCTCACACCTCCAAAAAGACAGAGAGCCATGTTGGGCGGGTCTGAGTTACCTTATTTCTGGGAATGGAATGCCTGGAGAGGTTTATGTAAAGGTCGTAGTCGGAGGGTAACACAGAGCAGGGGTCCTTGTCCAGCACCGTTTGAAAGGCTTCCCAGATGGCTGTGCAGTTCTTGTCCCTGTGCGAAGAGCAAGTTTATACAAGAAAAAACCACATCACAATGTGACATCTTTCTATTTCTCTCCAAGTACACCAAGAGCTGTCCAAGCATTCTGTCTCTGCCCAAGTAGCATACTAAAAAGACAGGATATTGTCATAGCTCATGTCTTAACCCCACTTCTGGAGGGGACAAGAAATAACTCAGGGGATGAGTCAAGAAATCTAACAGCAGAAGTGTCTCTAGAACGTACCACACAACTGTTTCAGAGCTAAGGAGTACCATCTCGCCCCAGGCTCACAGAAAAGGCACTAAGTTAGCAGGTGACAATTCTTATAAGCTTCTTCCCTTAGATCATGAGGCCCATTGCATGGTGAGGTCGGCCACGGCGCAGGACCTTGCAAAACCAAGAGTGAGCACCAAGTGCTGAGAAAGTCCGTTGCACCACCTGGTCAGGCAGAAAGTATGACCTACAGTGCCAGTCACAGCACCTGATGTCCATCCTAGCTTCCCCAAAACATTTTCCACTGCACTTGTAACTTTAAAAGAACTTTTTTCTTTATTGATTTTAGAGAGAGTAGGAGAGAGAGATAGAAACATATGGCTGCCTCCTGTGTGCCCCCCACTGGAGATCGGGCCCACAACCTGGGCATGTGCTCTGACCGGGAATCAAACCAGCGACCTCTTGGTGCAGGGGTCGACGTTCAACCACTGAGCCACACTGGCTGGGATGCACTTGTAACTTTTTATTTCTCCTGTTGGGTGGTAACATGGGTGTGCCTTGCATATTCTCTGCTTTTCTTTTCTTTTATTGCCTGAAATGTGTCACTTTAAAAACAATGGCACAAGCCTTGGCCAGTTTGGCTCAGCGGTTAGAGCATCAGCCCGCAGACCAGAGAGTCTCAGGTTTGGTTCCTGCTAAGGGCACATACCTCAGTTACAGTTTGTCCCCGGCCCTGGTTGGGGTCATGTGGGTGGCAACCACTCAATGTGTCTCTCTCACATCTATGTTTCTCTCTCTGTTCCTTCCTCTCTCCCTCCCGCTATATCTGAAGATAACTACAAAAGTGTCCTCTGGTGAGGATAAAAACAACAAAACAACTGGCACCAGAAAGGGACTTTATGAAAACAGAAAAAGTAGGTCCAAAGAAGGAACAAAAATAAGTAAGCACAGTGCTGGCAAAAGAGGATCAAACTTTAAAAAGTCCTCTAGATTAGATCTGAAATTTGAATTCCCAAAGGAACTGGATGGTGGCTGTTCTGGGTCTGCCATTCAAACTCAGCTCTCCCTAATGCTGCTCACCTCTAGATCGCCCCCACGTATGCTCCTTCATTTATACAAACACACACACACACACTCACACACACCTCACCTTCAGACCCTACACACAGACCCGCTCACCCCTGGATTCCCCACCTTTGCTTCCCTGACCTTCAGAACCCCAACTCTACCCCCAGAAGCACCCATGTCAAGACCCCTTACTTCCTCCACTTCCCTGACCCTTAGACCCCATTCCGTCCTGCCCACCTCCCCTCCCCTTCCTCGCCCCACACACCTGTCTCCCCTTCGCCCTCCTAGCCCTCTCCCTTCTGCGCGCCCAAGCCCGCCGCCTGCAGATCTCACCGCAGCTGGGGGTTCAGCAGCTCGAGGTACTCCGCACAGTAGCCCAGGAAGATGCGCTGCAGTTGCGGGGTGGTGCCAGGGCCGCTCCACTGGGCGCCCGCAGTGCCCGCGGAGCCCGACGCCAGCAGCAGCAGCAGCAGCGCGGCGAGCGACAGCCCGGACGGTGCGCACCGCTGGGCAGCCATCGCGGAACTTTGGAGAGCTCCTGGACTTGCCTCCCCTTTATGCAACAAGGCGCCCCACCCCCCACTCCACCCCAGCTGGCCTGGGCACAGCTGATCCAGTTGTTTCTCTGAGTCTCTGCTTAGGCATTTTAGTTTGCCGGTTCTGTTCACACCACGTATCTGTACCTAGATAAGGACTTACGTTTAGGATCCCCGTCCTGAGTCCCCGCTTTGCTTTTCTGGGACACCGTTTAAAATAACCTACAGTTAAGCTCTCGAAAAGTCAGTGACCAAGCACGGAATAGGTGTTTGCTACGGTGTTCTCCGCTCCTGCTGGCTCTTGGCCAAAACCAGCAGAGGTGCCTCCTGTTGGCTGCACCGAATAGGTATTTGCTACCCTGTTCGCCTCCTACGCGCTCTTGGCCAAACCGCCCGCCCCCCGCTGGCATCTGTAAGTAATAAATCCTTCCTTTTCTTCTTTTGTGTGTGTGTACGGAATGGCCCCTTCAATCCAAAGGACCCAGTGGGCTTCACTTTCCCAAAGCGGCAGCTGGATGCTGAGAGATCTGCCGCCGCAGGTCACGTTAGTCCTGTAGGTGGCTCCTGCCTCCTCATTCAGCTGCTCATACTTTGCATCATCTTCATTCAATACAGCACCTGCTATGCTTGGCAACACACCCTCTCTCCTTTTCTGTCTTCCTTTCTGCTTCAGTTCCAGGGCTGAGTTGGGACATAACCAAGGACAGGACACCTGCTCTGTGCAAAGTTTGGCCTCCTGAGCCAAGGAGGGAGCCCCAAAACAGGGAGGTTGGAGAACAAGAGGGCAGAGCTCAGTCAGCAGAGGGAAAATTTTTCTGGCCCCAAACTATGCCCACTGTGACAGACAACCTCTTTTCCACTGGCCAATGATGGGGGTTGTTTGTTTTCAGGAAATAATAACTACCAAAACTAATGTTTATTGAGCTGTTCTATGTGCCCAGAATTAATTTACTTTTCACAGCGTCATCCGAGCTAGGTTTGTAATCTATATTTAACAGATGAAGAAATCCAGGGAAGTCAAGTAACTTGTTGAGGTCACCATCTCCCTTCTGAACCGATGTGCAATCCTAGAGACAATCAGTGTAGACAGGCAGGATGCCAGGATTAAAGAATGCCAGGGAGAGGGCCGAGCTCTCAATTTTCAGTGATGACAGCTAGGAATTCTGAGTGTCCAGCAGGCATTTGACTAACATGGGAGCTGGTTGCAGGGTAGGTCTGCGGGGTTCTAAAACAGCTTATTTGAATCTCTTGTTTTCTGTTTTGTTTTTTTTTTTTCTTTATTTTTATTGTTGACACCATTACAGATGTCCCTGTTTCCCCTACCTTTGCCAGCCCCCCCACCCCCACCCCACCTCTGGCACTCTCCACACTGTTGTCTGTGTCTATGGGTTATGCATATATGTTCTTTGACTCTCCCTTCACCTTCTTTCATCCAGTACCCCCTTCCCCCCACAACAGCTGTCAATCTGTTCCATGCTTCCCCACATTCTCCTGTCCGGCGCCCCCCTAGCTCAAGTTCATATTCTAAGAATAAGCATTTTTAATTCTTTCAACAGTTTTTTCCTGGTATTTACTCCCACATTTCTAAATAGCATGCCCATATACTGTTTCTCGATGTTTCTACCTTGGATGTTATTCTAGTATGAAAAGGAAATTTTATCTTGAACCCCACACATCCTCAAAAGGCATCCCTCTGGCCCTGGCTGGTTTTGCTCAGTGGTTAGAGCATTGGCCTGTGGTCCAGAGAGACCCGGGTTCGGTTCCCACTAAGGGCACGTACCTCAGTTGCAGTTTGTCCCCAGCCCTGGTTAGGTCATGTGGGTGGCAGCCACTCGATGTGTCCCTTTCACATCAATGTTTCTCTCTCTCTCTTCCACTCCCACTCTGTCTGAACAAAAAATGGAAAAATGTCCTCTGGTGAGGATTAAAAAAAAAAAAAAAAAGGCATCCCTCTGTACCCCTCATCTCAATAGAATTATATCATCAGCTTTAAGTCAATAATCAGCATTTACGTGATTGACTTTATATTATTCATGACTGAGCATATATTATTCTATGTTTACATTTTCTTTCTTGTAAACTTCATGCTTACCCTAAGGGTAGTAATTATCTCTTTTTCCCTACCCCCTGACTTGTTTGTTTGCTTTGATGTTCAATGTAATGATTATGATCAAATTCTCAGTAAGACATGTAAACCTCTCCATGCATTGAAATGGTAGTGTATGTATGATTTCCTTCTCTTTGTCTCTGTCTCTCCTTCCCTCCCTCCCTCTTTGTTAGTTTCTTGGAAATATCCTTCCTAGAGCTGTCCAGTTTACTGTCACAGTCTGAGATGGTTCCTCTCTTGACTTGCTGCATAGTTGTCATCCTGGTAGCCTCCTTCCCCTCACTCCTGGGTTGATCTCCTGTTTTCTAGATCCTGTTTCTTCCTCTTTCTTTGTACGTTTTGCAACAGCCTCTTGAAATGCCATAGGAGTTAAGTTTTTTGAGACTATGTGTGTGTGTGTGTATGTATGTATATATATATATATATATATATATATATATATATATATATATATTAAAAAAAAAAAAAACCTTGCCTTTCTTAAATTCATTTCAAATGTGCATTCTAACACAGTAGGATGGCTACAGTGAGAAGGCCGACGATACTAAGTGTCGGCAAAGATGAGCTTCCCACTCTGCCAAAAGCATGTGGAGCAATTGGAACTTTACTTTGCTGATAGGAGTCTAAATTACTGCAACCACTTTGGAAAACACTTTGGCTATATCTTTTAAGGTTGTCCATATACTTAAGCTATGGTTCAGAATTTCCATTTCTAGGTATGTGTGTATATATTCACCAGACATATGTTCTAGAATATTAGCAGGCCCAAACTGTGAAGCCATCAAATGCCCATCCAGAGTAAAATGAATCAACCAGTTGAGGTGTATTTATAGAATGTGGAACCCTATAAAACAAGAACAAATGAACTATAGCTACTCTGAATAATGTAGATGAATCTCACAAATAGAATGTTAACCTATGGAAACCAGACACTGAAGAGAATATATTGTATTATTCTACTGGTTTAAAATATAAAAATAGGCAAAACTAATCTATGTTGTTAGAAGTCCTGTTAATGGGTGGTCTTGGTGGGGAGGGGACATGGGGGCTTCTGGGTGATGGCAGTGCTGTTTCTTGATCTGGGTGTGGCTACATGTGTGTGTCCCATTTCTGTAAACGGAGCTGTCAGCTCTTCAAGGGCAGAGAGAATATCTTCTGCCTGTTTTTATCCTCAGTGTCCGGGTCACAGGACACGGGACAGCCATTGGCACACTCTTCACCGAATAAACAAATCTACCTGCAAATGCTACCAAAAAAAAAAAAATTTGAGACTTTTACATAATAATGCAAAATGTTAATCATACTTGATTAAGAATTTGGTTGGGAAGAATTTTAAGTTGGCAATCATTTTCCCACAGAATTCTGAAGGTAGTGCTCTATTGTTTTCTGCTGTGTTACTGTTGAAAAATCTGAAGTCATTTTCCTAATCCTGTCTATTTGACCCTTTTCTGCTCTTAGGGATTTTTTAGAATTTCTTTTTATCTTCAAGAGTATGAAATTTCAGAGATGAACTTGGGGATGAGTATTTCCATTCATTATGCTGACAGCTGCAGCAAGGATGTTTCCAAGAAAAAAGGGAGACGACTGTTACCTCTAAGGTAAGCAAGGAGTTTAAGAAAGGAAACATAATCATAGAATACTATAAGCTCAGCCATGAATAATATTCACAGGTCATAACAATGTAAGTGCTGATTACTGATTTAAAGCTTGTATCAAAAAAAAAAAAATTAGAATAAACTCAGAAACAAGAAAAAGAAACACCCAAATTTTAACATGGGCAAAATAGTTGAAAGGTTACCAAAGAAGATATTCTACTACTAGGTATTTACCAAAGGAAAAATAAAAATATGTCTACCCAAAGGTTTATACATAAAATGTTCATAGCCGCTTAATTCATAATAACCCCTAAATAATTTAAATGTCCAGAGCAAGAGAAGAATAAACAAATTGCAATAGTTATACAACACAACTCAGCAATACAAAGGAACAAACGGCTGATACAATGAAGAATATATATACTGAATGAAAGAAGCTAGACATAAATATCATTCTCCTTATATGAAGTTCTAGAAGGAATAGAATGCTGACATACACAGTTGGGGAAAAAGTTTTCAGATGGAATCAATACCCTAAGCAAATGCAGAATAATGGATAAAGTGTGGGGCTTCTGAAAAAGGTCAAACGTTTCTTTTGACTGGTAAAGATGGTGCAGATTGAGACTTGACAGGAAAGATAGAGTCCTATTTTAAAGACCTTGAAAACAATACTAATCTAGCCCTGGCCAGTTTGGCTCAGCGGTTAGAGCGTTGGCCTGCGGTCTGGAGAGACCCGGGTTCAGTTCCCGCTAAGGGCACGTACCTCGGTTGCAGTTTGTCCCCGGCCCTGGTTGGGTCGTGTGGGTGGCGACCACTCGATGTGTCCCTTTCACATTGATATTTCTCTCTCTTTCTCTCTCTCTCTCTCTCTCTCTCTCTCTCTCTCTCTCCCTCCCACTCTATCTGAACAAAATATCGAAAAATGTCCTTGAATGAGGATAAAAAAGAAAAAAAAAAAAAAAAAAAAAGAAAACAATACTAATCTAGACTTTGTTCTCTTGAACATTAAGAGCTTTTAGTAATTCTTCCTTATTGAAAACTTGGCCTCTTTCGTTCGTTGGAATTCTTGGTTGCTAGAGGATGAAGTAAGAGGTCTCAGAACAGCATGTGTCATAGTGTCCTCACAATGAATGTCTTGGATACTTAGCATCATCTTTTTCCTCCTGTGTTCATTTTCTGTTGTGGTAGGCTGAGTAATGCCCCCACAAAGATGTCCATGTCCTCGTCCCCTGGAACCCATGAATATACTACCTTACATAGTAAGAGGGACTTTGCAAATGTGATTGTTAAGGATCTTGAGATGGAGATTATGATGGACTGTCTGGATGGGTCCACTGTAATCATAAGGGTCCTTATGAAGAGGGAAATGGATGGATCAGAGACAGAGAGAAAGCAATGTAATGATAGAAAGTACAGAAGGTTACAGCATTCAAGTACACAGAGGGCTCTTTGAAGAGGGTGTGTGACTCATGGGTCCTCTCAGCTATCTCAGCAGAAGCCAAAAACAGATGAGATTATTCAGGGAAGATCTGTGGAGTAGCCTCTTTTCTGACAGAGTGAATCTCTGTGCCCCACAAAGTGTTTGAGAATGTTATACCAACAGAAACATTTTCCAGTTGGATTAGAAAGGACCAAAGACAAAACCGAAAGGCTATCTGACTCCCCAAATTCTACAGGCAGAAACACAGGCTGGTAAAACTACTCAGTGACAGATGTGCTACTCTTCATGAAAAAGGGTAAGTTCAAGGGTGGAGTCACGGGTCCAGAGGGCAGAGGTATGAACCACTTAAAAGTTATTCCCAAGCTTTGAAACTTAATGGTTTGTTCAGGTGGACTTTAAAAGTGATGGCTGGTAACTCCTTTTTGCCTTTTATTTTCTCCCTTGTTAATGGGAATGGCTGCCACTTTTATCACTATACCTGTCCCACCACCGTATTTCTGGAGCACAGACTTGCTTTCTAGTTTCTCAGTTCCACAAAGAGGATTTTCTCCAGAATGGGTTATACCCAGAACTGCACCCATATCTAATTTAGATATGAGATTTAGGACTTTGGAGCTGATAAGACACATTCTGAGATTTGGACTTGAATTAATGCTATAATAGGCTGAAACTTCGGGGGACCTTGGGATGAATTTCTCATGTGAGATAGATGGATATGAGTCTTTGAGAGCCAGTGGACAGACTATGGTAGGCTGAACAATGGTCTCCCATCCCAGCTCCAATATGCAGCAGCCTTACATAGTAAAGGGGATTTTGCAGAACTGACATATTCTGACAGAAAGACTAAGGCCTCTATTTGTTACTAAGAAAGCAGCCAGATCAGCACTGTGTATCAATTCCCCATGCCCCAAGTCCCAGAGCATCACATTATGGGCCATGTAGTAGGAGACCCCAGGGTTTCACGGAATTGCTGGTACATCTTGCCATTCTCTCCTGAAGAGAAAGTACTCATTACTCCTGGAATACAAGCAAACATCTCTGGGGAGGTAGGAAAGGGCTCTATCTGTACTTCCCTGAGAAGTCTCTCGGGAAAGAGATGTCTCTAGCTTCACTATCCTGGAATAACTCCTTATACGAACATTCTTAACTTAGATGCAAATACTTTCAGAGAACCCAGACTTTGCAGAAATGTGAGCTACTTATGAAGAACTGTCTTCCAACACTTTATTTTAAGCACCAAAAAGGGGGCAGGGGATCTATTACTTTTAATAGAATAGAAAATCTGAAAAATCAAATACTGTAATAATGCTAGGCTGATGGAAAGGAATTGCTAATCTATATGATTTTAGAGAAAGACCATGCCAAAAGAAACATAACCCAATAGGATCAAGGAATAAGTAAAAGGCAGAAGGTAAAATTGATTTGAGGAAGACATATTAAGCAATATATGTTCCTTAATTATCAGCAACAATGTAAAAAAAAGCAACATCAATCAGTGCATTTATGGATGCTTATAGATATTATCTGACAAGATGAAATTTTTAAATGTGAAAAAAAAAAAAGGTAAAGAAATTTGCCACACATTTAATACTTATTCCTGGGAATATTACCCCATAATAGATTTTAGATATTAATTCATTTGCTTATCAAATCTATTCTGAATACTCACTCACTCTGCAAGGAGCATATAAGATGGATATGATCTCTGCTGCCAAGGAGCATTCATTCCAGGGTGGCAGATGGACAGAACTAGTAATCAAGTAAGTAAAAATATCACAAATTTTATGCTACAAAGAAATAAAGGGAAGAATAATGGACGATGCATCCAGACCAAGGCGGTTAGGGACACCCTCTTTGGGGAAGTAACATTTAATTCAATCTGTTCTCGAAACATCCGAGTGAATCTGCTAAACCCTAATTCAGATCATGTCTGTCCTCTAGGTAGCCCTCCCACTGCTTTCCATTTCACTTACAACAATCCCCGCGGCCCTGTAATGGCCTACAGAGCCCTTTATGATTTGGTCCCCAAATAGGTTCCTGACCTCCTTATTCCTCTTCCTATAACACTTATGATCTTCTAGATATTATAAAGCCTATTTATTTATTGTCTCTCTCCTTGCCAGAACATTAGCTACTAGAGAATGATCTTTGTTTTCTTCATTCTGTATCCCAAATGTGTCTAGCATAGTTCCTGACCTCTAAATGTTCATTACATTTTTGTTCAATAAACATAAAAATTACATATGCTTTAATTAACAGCATAACAAAAATAGAAGCATAACAAAGTTATCACATAAAATTATATATTAACATTTAAATACAACATAGAAAAATATCACAAAATAAGAAACAGAGAAACCGAAACCAGGCGAGATTTTTTTAACGTGATGCGTGTGCCGGCCTGTTCACAAGCTCGTTCCAGTCTGGAACACAAGAGGATAATGCTACCCGAAGATCTGCTGCACCTTCGATCCACTTCCTTCCTTCGTTTCTACCTGGGTCAAGACCGAAAACCCTCGTTCACACAAACTAGTTGTTGTGAATGGTAATAATAGTAGGATACTCTTTCTACTCAGCAAAGGAAAGTCTTCCTTTATCTTAATCCAAAATGCTGATAAACTTAATGTTTCATAATCATTCTTCAATGTACATGAGCAACTGAGCTGCCGTAATTCACTCTCTTCTTCAGGGACCAAGTTGAACTCTACTATTGATTCTGGGTTTCGAAAAGCGAATGGATCTTTTACCCAACGGTTTTCTTTTAATGTTTCAAATTTCTCTTCTGGAAAGAAATGATTAAAAGTTTGAGTTAGAGAGGTGAAATGCAATAATATCTCTAATTTTACTTCTTTCAAATCAGTTTCATTAATAATATTCTCTTCAATATGTTCCAAAAATCTTGGAAACATGTAGTAGCTAGGCTGACTGCTTTTAAGCCTTGCTTGCCATAACAATAACGTCTTTTGGAATCCTTGGATACATTCAACATGTTGGAATATATCGCCGTTTTTCCCCCGTAGTTTTAAACTCAGTTCATTAAGAATGCCAAAAATATCAGTTAAGTATGCCAGTTTCATTACCCAAATGTCATCTTCAAAAATACTTGCCAAATGAGATTTCTTTTTAATGAGAAAAATGTGAATCTCATTCCTGAGTTCATAAACCCTGCTTGGTATTTTCCCTTGAGACAACCAACGAACTTTGGTATGATACAGTAAGTGGGTATAATTACTTCCAATCTCCGAACATAATGTTTCGAGAAGTCGGCTATTTAGTGAGCTTCCTTTAATAAAATTAACAACTTCCACTGCTCTTTTCAATACTTCCATGAGATTCTGTGGAATTTCTCTGGATGCTAAAGCTTCGCGATGTATAAAACAATGATTCCACACAGCACCATAATTAGTAACTTCTAGCAATTTTTTAATGACTCGCCTATGTTTTCCAGTTATGTTTGCTGTTCCGTCACTTGTAATTCCTTTGCAGTTCTTCCAGTTTAATTTGTATCGACCAACAATGCACTTTTCTAATTCTGTAAAAATGTCTAATCCACTTAGGTGTGAGATTAGATGTAAACAACACAGAAAATCCTCCGTGAAATCACCTTGCCACGCGTATCTGACATAAATGAAAAGTGTTGTGCAGCTGCCAATATCAGTGCTCTCGTCAAGCTGGATGGCAAAATCCACACCAGACTGTAACCGCGACATAAGCACTACTTCTAAATGTTCTACAATAGCATAAATTCGAAGACATATTGTGTTATCACTAGGGATAGCTTTTAATTTGTCAGTTGATTTATCATCAAAAATTGTCCGCACTATATCCAAACATGCTGGAAGAATAATTTTTTCAGCATTTGTGTGAGCCATTTTCTCTTTTGCCACACGATAATGCAACCAAATATGATGATATTAAGGCTTTCTCACTGACAGAACTAAGAAACTGTGCTGATAACTTTGTGTCTTTTTTCTTTCTTTGAAAATATTCATGAGGTTTAGCAATAAGTTCAGCATGCGGTGTTTCTAAGTGCCTTTTTAATTTTGAAGGTTTTAAGCTTTCATTTGCAAGAATATTGTAACAAATAACATATTGTGGTCTGTCATTTTCAAAGGGTTTTTCACATTTGATAAAACCGTATTTTAAATAATCTTCATTATATCATCTTACGCTTACTTTTTTCTTTTTGAAATGTGGCTCAAATGAAGTGGAACTTTGCAAATTAGAGTCAATATTTTTCTCAAGATTGTTGCTATTCATATTTCCAGATCCAACAGTTGAACATGCTTCTGTGTATTTCACTTCATTATTCCTCTTCCTTTTAAAAAATAAATGACCCACTTTAAAAACAATTTTGATTAAAATGTTGTAATTATCACAAACTCAAATATACATATGTGTGTGTGTGTGTGTGTGTGTGTGTGTGTGTGTGTATCTCTCCGAGATAACATCTTTTAAAAAAAAATGCAGTTTGCAACTGAATCTCGATCAAACACCTCAGCCTTCACATCTAGTTGCAAGTCATGGTAATATAAAACCAGACTGCATGTTTACCTTGATATTATGAAAACCACACAAGACACCAGTGGACAAATGACTGAAAAACCATTTCTTAGCCAATAAACATTCTATTCATCATATCCCCTCCATCAAATATCTTTTCACATGTTGAAACTGACCTTAGTATTCCTTGCAATATGCATAATTCTGACAAAGGATTTAAGGAAAGCACTCCGATAGTTTACATTTTATTTTGTCTTAAAAAAAAAATGTTCATCATGATTACAGAATTGATTTCATGACCTACTACTAATGGGTCACACACATAATGTGCAAAACACTGATACAGAGACATTTTCCACTGTTGTGTTGACAGCTTGAGTATGTCTGTTTGACAACCAAAGAAACTAGCTGATCTGTTAGACTAAAGGCTGGTACAGGAACTATTTTGAAATGAAAGATGTATACCTTAGATTGTCATTCCTGATGTTTTTTTGTTGAGAGAGTTTTTAAGAGTGCCAGTTATGGTCTGATTTAGTGAGGCTCCAATGAGGTTTTCATGGCTAGGTCAACTATCAGGTTGGAGCTGGTGATATATTTTTAGTACTTTCTTGGAATGCATCCTTGACCTGGGAATAAGAAAAGAGACGTGACATTAGAGCATTACAATACAGAGCAATATTACTGTCAGCTATGAAGACCTTTACAATATCCAAGGTCATGGGTGCTGAAGCAAAGTCTTTTCATCGCTCTGTTACATAGGCTTAGGCCTATTTCCGTAAGGCAAACCACCTCAACATAGAAAAATGATGTCAGTAAAACCTGGAAGTTGGCATCAGAAGTTGCAAAGTATACTGACAAAGCTGAATAGAGCAAGCCATGATGGAGTAGAGCTCCTTCACCACATACAGTTGTCCCTCAGTATCCGTTGGGCATTGGTTTCAGGATCTCCCACAGACACCAAAATCCATGGATGCTAAAGTCCTTTAAATAAAATAGCATAATATTTGCATTTAACCTGTATTTGCATTATAGGCTACAGCAGGGCGTGCCTACTATCACTTCATTCATGTAGCTTGAGCATAGTGCACTAATATTTAAGATGTGTGCATTGTCCTGGCCGGCTTGGCTCAGTGGTTAGAGTGTCAGCCCGCGGACCAGAAAGACCCGAGTTTGGTTCCTGCTAAGGGCACATACCTTGGTTGCGGTTCGTCCCCTGCCCCAGTTGGGGTTGTGCGGGTGGTGGCCAGTTGATGTGTCTCTCTCATATTAATGTTTCTCTTTCTTCCTTCCTCCCTCTCTCCCTCCTGCTCTATCTGAAGATAAATGCAAAAAGTGTCCTTGAGTGAGGATTAAAAAAAAAAAATGTGTGCATGGAGGGTGATTGTTGTGGATATAGAACCATACTTCAGAGCAATGATGCTCTTTAATCAGCAGTGCATATAGTTTAGGCATCCTTTAGGAGAAAATTCCAATTAAGGTGACCAAATGCTTGTAGTTGAAAGTTTCTTACATATCAAGGTGCTTTAATACAGTCATATAATATGATTTCAGGTGCTTTAATGCAGTCATAATATGGTTTCAGGTTACTGATTTTCCCCTAATGAATCTTTTTATCTACCTATAATAGTGCTTATCATATGGTAGCTACTCAATAAATGTATTTGAAAGAATAAGAGAATAAATAACACCTGGAGTAAACCATACAATGTACATTCTATTTTTATCAGTCAGCGAAAAGTATGTTATTGAACTCTATTTGGACAATTTAATAATATGTAAGACAAAGGCTAGTAAAATATAGTCTTTAAAATAGAATCATCAAACATATCTATTTCCAAATAAACAGCTTATAATGTTACGTAGTAGAGACAATGGTCTTATAAGAACATAAATGTCAATTATATTTAGGCTTAGTTTGTAAAGCTTAACACCTAAATCTACCTGAAAATAAGAAACTCACATAAAATAACTATCTCAGTTATATTACTATAGATATGGGCTACTTATATTTTTAAACAAAACAATTGTCTCCTAATCATTCTGTTCTTTGATATTTTTACTATTCCTATTTCAATCCAGTCCTCCTTGTAAGTATATAATTGGCTATGCTTCTACCTGTTGTATTCAAAAAGTAGTCTTAAAGGGCTCACTCTCCTCAATCAAACAATTCACCTACAGTAACAGCAGAGTTAGTGTATTAGGGTATAGACCTGGTAGATGTGGGGATGAAAGCATGAGGAATTCCTTTTCTAACTGAAATAGGATGCAAGGTATCAGCTAAATAGGAGGCAGGAGAAAATGTTGCAAGTTCGGTAGAAGGTATGAAATAGTTGTCTAGGAAAGAGCTACCAGGAACTAGGAAATTGTTTCAGAATTTTAAGTGAGTCTGCATGAGTGACTTACATATTTAATGCAATGATCATTATTGTTATGAGGCTAGATAGGAGGTATTAATTACCTGCCACTAATTTTTACCTCTTAGACATATCTCCATGGTGCTAAAAATATTATCGTCTAAAAATACAGCTCTGACACATTTTCTCATAATTCAAAAACCTCTAATGGCTCTGAGCTAGTGTAATTGCCTCAGATAATCTCCTTTACGTCTAAGCCTCATCCTATCTTTCCAAGTTTCTGCTTCATTATGTATCTTCATACAATTCTACACATTAAACTCTAAGACTATGGTAGTTCTTGAAATACCTCATGCACTTTCACTTACTTCTGCTTTTGCTCTGTCTAGTACTCCCTTTGCCTGGAATACTCTTCTTGCCTTCTTAAATAATCTGAAATCCTATTTATTATTTAGGATTTAACTCAAATGCCAGAGCATTCATCCATTCAATTAATAGTTAAGTACTTATCATGTCTCAGGCACCGGGATATAAAGCAAGAAAACGAACAGTGATATATCCATACAAGGGAATACCTGTTCAGCTGTTGCAATGAATAAAGTAAAGTTACAGAACACTGGCAAATTTTAAAAAGCAGTACGTAAAAGAAAGCTGCAAAAGGATATATACATTACTAATTGTTAAAATTATGCAAAACAGCATTATATATGTAATTAAAAATTAAAACATAACGGTGCTTGGGAGGGTGGTTACCTTGGGCAAACGGGAACAGAATGAGATTGGGTGTTCAAGGACATTTATTTCTCCAGTTGGGTGGCAAGCGCACACGCAGTGTAGTTTCAGTTCTACCTTTGCCAGTCAAAAATATTCTATTTTTTAAAAGTATGTATAGGCTTGATTCCCTCCTGAAGGCACTGCAAACCTCTCTCTTAACCAATAACTGACAATCACTTCTCTCTCTTGCACCCCCGGTTCCCGTATTGTCACACGCACACATTCGTACACAGACCGAGGAGTGGGAGCTTCCAGGCGTGCGCTTTAAGTCGACCCGATTGTAACCCTCTCCCCAGGAGACTCCCCAGGGCTCCCTCCAATCCTCTGGGAAGCCAACTATCCCTTTAAGACCTCCAGCCTGACCTTTCCAGCCGGCCCCAGAAGGTCGCCCCTCAGATCCCGGATTGCTGCCCTCTTCCCCCGGATTGCTGTCCATTCATCCTTTGAGCAAAACCTGGATGTGTCTCCCCGCCCAACGAACCCTGGAATGTCTCCCCTTGGGGGACCGCGGTCCCTTCTCATCAGAGGTTGCCCTTCTTCCTCTCACCTCCAGCCCGGCTCCGCGAACCTCGCGTCCCGCCCGCCGGTCGACGATTCGGCTCGCTCCCCATTCCCTGCGCAGAACCACTTCCGGCCTAGCCTCCGCTCCCACAGATATCCCACTTGGAGCCGGAAGAGGGCTTTCTGCGCAAGCGGCTTTCTGCGCAAGCGCGAAGCCGAGGGCCCGTTCGGCTTTCTCGCCTTCCCGACGCTCTCGTGTCCGTCCAGAGCTCCGTCCTACTCTCGCGTGAAGTCTTTGAAACCGCTGGCGGTAACCACAGCGGCTGCCGGGGGTCTGGGGAGTTGGAGACTTCGTGCGGTGGTCTGTGGGCCCAGCCGCAGCCGGGCGCAGGCAGGGCTCGTCCCCGCGGAGTCGCGCCACCACGGGGGCAGAGAAGAGGCTGCTGCCCATTACGGAGGCCGTCCAGCGGGCGCAGCAGCCACGCCGAAAGCAGGCGAAGCTGGTGGGGGGCCGAGCCGCACCTGCCGTTCGGTAGGCGCGCGGGGTCCCGAGCTCCCACCCAGCTTCTGCGCCCATCGCCCTCCTGGTCCAGCCGGTACAGCTGTGAGCGCACTTGGAAGTAATTTGACAGTCTTTGTAAGAGGACTATAGAGTTTAGAATTTTAATACCATTTTACCTTGTTTCCTGATTTAGAGAACCATACTGTATTTAATCATCATAGTAGTCTGCGTCTCTCTAGGTTAGCAGTTCACTGATTTTTGACATGGATCTGCATTTCACTAAGTATACTTAAAATCTGTGTTAAATATGAATATTTCGGCTTCGGCCCTGTAATGATTTTAACAGAACGCATTTCTTAATTATTAACAAAATATCCCGGCCGTAGGGCTCAGTGGATTGAGCTTTGTTCCATGGACTGAGGTCCTGATTCCTGGTCAGGGCACAATGCCCGGGTGTCGGGCTCGGTCCCCAGTAGGGGGCGTGCAGGAGACAGCTGGTGGATGTTTCTCTCTCTCTCAAAAATCAATAAAAACATATTTAAAAATAAATTGGTCCAAACAAGTGATCTTTATGACAAGCCAGTTATTTTTTAGGTTGATTATATGTATTGCCTTTTATTATAATTTAGTTTAAGAAATAGAAAAAGTCAGATACAAAAGTTTTCTTTCAACTCTTAAGACTTAACACGATTTTGCAGCATTTCATCACCTCAGGGTACCACTTCTTTTACTAACAAGATTACACAAAGATATTTTAAAAACTATTCAATTAGCAAATATTTATTTATTTTTAAAAATGTTTCCCTTTTATTGATTTTTAGAGAGAGAGGGAGAGAGAGATGGAAATATCAATGAGAGAACATCAGTTGGCTGCCTCCTGCATGACCCTCACTGGGGATCAGGCCCACAACCTGGGCATGTGTCCTGGCTGGGAACTGGCAACCTCTTGGTGCATGGGTCAGCGCTCAACCACTGAGCCACGCCAGCCGGACAGCAAATATTTATTTTATATGGCTCAGTCAAACGACATAGATTTGAGCAACATGAAACTACGTAAAAAGAACTACATGCAAACTACGTAAAAAGCAACGCACTGAGAAGACTCGCTGCCCCTAATCTCCATCCAACGCTGTTCCCCATGGTCTCCTACAGGTAACTGCCTTTAATTAGGTTTCTGTTTATCCCTTCAGTCCTCCTGCAAATATAAGCAAATGTGAATACACATTCTTATTTCCTTTCATTCCTCCTTCACTATTTTATTTTTATTTTTTTGTTAAACCTCACCCGAAGACATTTTTTCATTGATTTTTTGTTTTTTTTGTTCTTTTGTTTTTTTTTTATCCTCACCCGAGGACATTTTTCCATTTTTTGTTCAGGTAGAATGGGAGGGAGAGAGAGGAACAGAGAGAGAGAGAGAAACATCGATGTGAAAGGGACACATCGAGTGGCTGCCACCCACACAACCGACCAGGGTTGGGGGCACACTGCAACTGAGGTACGTGCCCTTAGCGGGAACCGAACCCGGGTCTCTCTGGACCGCAGGCCGACGCTCAAACCGCTGAGCCAAACCGGCCAGGGCTCATTGATTTTTAGATACGTAGAGTGGGAGGGAGGGAGGGAGAGAGCAAGAGAGAGAAACATCAATGTGAGAGAGACACATGGATTGGTTGCCTCTGCACAGGGATCGAGCCTGCAACCCAGGTATGTGCCCTTGACCGGGAATGGAGCCCTCGACCCTTTGGTCTGCAGGCTGATGTTCTAACCGCTGAGCCAAACCTGCCAGGGCCCTCCTTCACTATTCTTTGCATTTTTCAGCACTTTGCTTTTTTCACTTAACAGTATATTCTACATATTCCTGTTACACTAATGAAACTTTATTTCTTCTTCTTTTTTAAGCTGCCACATATTCCATCCCCAAGCTACTTGCACTTCTACCCAGACGAGTACAAATTCAGGGTTTCCCACAACCACAGGGTAATCAGATCATATATGCCTAACTGTGCAGGTCTTGCTGGGTAGTCATGCCCCAAGCATGTAACTACTTTAGTAAAGGCTTATCTTTGCTCCAAGCTATCCTTGTCTATTGTTTCTGTGCATCTGGGTTGACACACCTTTGAAATACCTTTTTTCATATCCCTCTAGAAAGCATGTAATCTTAACTACTTTGTAAACCAATTTCCACCTTGCTTTCTCCCACCTTCATGTCACCTTCCTTACCTCCCCAACTTAATTTCAAATGCAGAAAAGAAACTGCAAAGACTTATTCTCCAGGGCATTTGAGATCTTGCTCCCTGGTCTATGTCATCAGTTTTGCTCAAATAAACTCTTGTAAAATTTTTCTGTTTTTTTTTTCCCATTTAGCACTATTTCTTATTATGCATGTAGCTATAGTTTATTCCTTTTCACTATGGAATAGTATTTTGATTTAGAAGTACAGCAAAGTTGAATTATCCATTATATTATTTACTTTTATGAACTAAATTGATATCCATGTTCTCAAACATGTGCAAAAGTGTCTGTGACTAATATATTAGAGGTGGTACTGTGGACTGAATTGTTTCCCCAAAATTTATATGTTGAAGCCGTAACTACCAGTACCTCAGAATATGACTACATTTGGAGATAGAGCCTTTAAAGGGGTAATTTTACTCAAAAAATTAAAAATGGAACTGCCATTTGACCCAGTGATCCCACTTCTAGGAATATATCCTAAGAAGCCTAAAACATCAATTAGAAAGAATATATGTACCCCTATGTTCATAGCAGCACTATTTACAATTGCTAAGATCTGGAAACAGCCCAAGTGTCCATCAATAGATGAGTGGATTAAAAAACTGTGGTACATATACACAGTGGAATACTATCCAGCTGTAAGAAAGATCTCTTATCCTTTGAGACATGGAGAGACCTCAAGAGTATCATGCTAAGTGAAATAAGCCAAACAGAGAAAGACAAATACCACATGATCTCACTTAATTGTGGAATATAATGAACAAGGTGGGCTGATGAACGAAATAGACCCAGAGACATAGAAAGGAGTACGGTTCAGAATGACAAACCTCAGAGTAGGGGGCGGGAGGCTTGGATGAGATGAACCAAAGAACTTACATGCACGTATGCATAACCAATGGACATAGACAGCAATGCTGGGAGTGGGGGAGAAGAAACATCTGTAACAAAAATAAGTTAATAAAAATTGGAAGGAAAAAAGGGGGGATAATTAAGTTAAATGAGTCCTTTGTGGTTGGGGGCGTCCAATCCAATCTGACTGCTGTTCTTATAAGAAGAGATTAGGACACACAGAGGCACTGGACATAGGCTCGCAGGACATCTATAAGCCTCAGAAGAAACCCAACCTGTGGACACACTGATCTTGGACTTCTAGTTTCTAAAACTGAGAACATAAATTGCTGTTGTTTAAGCAACCCAGTCTAGAGTATTTTTGTTCTGGCCACCCTAGCAAACTAATACAGATAAATTGCTGGATGGTAAGATTTGCACATGTTCTGCTTAATTAGCAATGCTAATATTTTTCTAAACTAGTTCTGTTGTAGGATAGTGAAAAACTGGGAAAATGCCTAAGCAAATGGAATAGGGAAACGGAGACAAGAAAATTAAACAAGGCCAAACAGTTTGGGGAGCTTGCAACCAACTAATAAGTAACAAGCCATTATCTTCCCCAACCTAGGACACTTGAGAGCAAATGGCTAAATACCCCTCCTCACAAACAAAAAGACTGCAGGAAGGAGGAGGAAGGGAAGGGGAAGAGGAAGGATCTTAATGCAACATGAGAATACCTGGTGTAAATCATCCTGGAACTGCTAAGGCAGGAGTGGGGAAGGAAAGAAGAGGGGGCGTTCAAGGCCTCTCACTGATGGACAACAGTGTGGTGATTACAGTGGTGGTGGTGGCAGGGGGGGAGGGGAGAAGTCATGATGGGGGTGGGAGGCCTGTCTCACTAAACAAACAAGTCTGCCATTTTGGGAAAGGAAGAAAAAGGGGGGACAGTTTCATTTCACACCCTAAACAAGCCAGCGGTCTCAGGGCTTGGCAAGATAAAATTACCAGGTGCTTCTCATAAATTCTGGGAAAGCGATAAAAAAGTAAAAGCGGGGGAGACCTTGAGAGTTAATCAGTACCAAGATATTTGGCAAAGGGATTTTGAAACCATAGGCAGAAGGATATATATATAATCCCGAACCCACACCAGACTTGCTTGTCCAAACTAGTTGGGAAAGCCCATCTGGACCCCAACTCAGATGTAGTTTAGTAGATGTGTCTGCCCTGCTTCTTTAATAAGCTGCTAGCTTTAATTTTTTAATAAATCGGCTTGATCACAACACAGTCATCTGGAGTCACTTATTTGAATTCATTCATACAAGAAGATGAGAACTGAGAAGTGGACAGCCCTCTCCCTTCCACTCGGGGCTGTCCCATGACACCGCTCCTGGTGTCTGAGAGCTGCCTGTAACAGCTGGACCAATTTGCCGTCCTACTAACACTGGATGGGGATTTTTCTTCTACAGTCCTACTAACACTGGATGGGAATTTTTCTTCTACATCTTTGCCCAAACCTGATAATTACCAGACTCTACTTCTTCCAGCGTGGTGGAAAAGGAATGGAACCTTAATGTCATGTTAATTGTGCTTTTTTAATAAGTTTATATTT